TGCGAGGAGGCCAATACGTACGGGAGCATGACAGTACAACATGTATACTTCACATCTTTTCCTCATTTGAGATCTCTCTGATGTTATTTGAGAGGAATATTTTTGTATACGGCTTATTATTAATTCGCAGCCACATGTTTGGCAGCACATGCTATATATTAGATGTTGTATTATCCTGCAAGCTAGGACTGCATGCTGTGAACCGCAAAGCCGTTCATTGGTTGCACACTTGTATATAAGCCTACAGTTTGCTACTAGTATACATGATATCCAAATCATACTAGTTTATTAATGTGAAATCTGAATTATTTTATATCTATTCAATTTACCACCGCGCTTATTTATTAATTTGAACATGTTTACTCATTTTTTAAAAAAACCGAATGAATTACAAAGACATACACGTAGTGAGGCACCGTTGTTGGTGGCTCTGTATGAAGAAAAAATGATTCTTCTAAAATACCTCTTTGCCTTGTCGCTTGTGTTATGCTATATCGGACCTCTTCTTTCCATTGCCTTCTCTCTTCATCCTTCGCAGAACTAGAATTTTCTTAATTCTAGAGTTGAGCTACCGTAGTTCGCATAATTTTATCTTTATTCTCTCTCTTTTTGAAGAAAAAGGAAAAACTTACATATCCTTGCACACCAGCACTCCAATCTCTATGGTTTTCCTTTCTCGATTAATTATAGCTTTTAACACAAGGTTGCAATATGACGATGTTAGCGGTATTACACGTATGTTAAATTTTAACTTGATGAGATAAATTGGACCTGCAAATGCTTTTTTTTTTCCAAATTTTGATGGAAACACTCACAGACACATACAACCAAAGCTTCCTTTCCTGATTTGTCCGGTGTGCAAGGTAGCATATAACCTGTTGCTGTTTAAGGGTCCCTGTAACGTGTACGTAGCTAGCTAAACTCCGGGTAACAATTTTGTCCTCATTTATTGCATTTGATGTGATTACAGCTTAGACTGACTGACCGGTCAGTAGATTATAGAAATCGGGCAGCCGTACTAATTCAGACTACTATTAGTGAGCAGTAACAATAATCCAACTCAATCGAACTTGAGGCATCACCATTCATGATGCATGTACTTTAATTAAACACTGTTAGTAGTTAGCTAAACGCCGGCTAAGTACAGTTTTGTCCTGATTTACTGTACCTGCTGATGAGATGCTTGAGCTCATGCAAGACAGCTAGAAACATCACCAGTGCACGTGAAAACCAAAAGGTATGTGGGACGTCCTGTGGTAAATAAAATTTAATTAACCCAGCACAGGAAAAGCAGGAGAGTTTTATTCTTCGGTGATAGCCAATCTCTCCAAAAAAAAGTATTTGTTGGGTCCTGTGGTTAATAAAATTTAATCCGTTCTTTCTGTACTATTACAGAAACGCTACTTATTTGCATTTTTAATATATGATGCCGTTGATTTTTGACATATGTTCAATCATTTATCTTAGAAAAAAAGTACGAATTACCCCCCGAACTATCGAGGTCGACCGAATTACACCCCCAAACTCGAAAATCAGACATTCTACACCCTCAACTATTGAAACCGGACAAATAACCCCCCCGACTCAATCCGGAGTGGTTTTGGGTCTACGTGACAGGCCAGTCAGCAATTTTTCTTAAAAAAAATCAATGGGCCCCACCTATCAGTTCTCAACCCACCCCCCCCCCCTCTCTCTCTTCTCACCAGCACGGCGGCGGCCACGCGAGGGCGGGAGCAGGCGGCGCTGCCGGTGACGGAGGGCGGCGGGCGGCTGAGACAGAGGCGGAGCTCGTCGCGCAGGTTGCCGTGCAAGTTGAGGCGGCGGAGGAGCACGAGTGAGCCGAGTACGGACGGCACGTACCCGGACAGGTTTTTCCCGGCGATCTTTCAATAAGTAAAGCCAAAAAAGATCATATCAAAGTACGACAAGTCATGGAATTTAAATGGAAGACAAGGAGAGAAGACGATTCGATTTTATTTTTCAACCAGTTATCTTTCACTTTAAAATTTTAAAACCCAAGATGCAGCGCTAAGAGTGGTTTTAGTGGTGTTTTTTTACCACTTTACTAACCATCATGCTATTATATGCCATGCATCATGGTGGCTAATATATATAGGAAACTGTATCCACGTTTCGCACTGTTATTTCCATCATTTCCTCGCGCTAAAGTGATAAGATAGGGAGATGCGGGGAGGAAAGGGAACAAAGTGTATGATATGATGTGTCCAGTGTTAGCTATTTAATACACCCTCCATTCTAAATTGATCTACATATAGTTTTTTTAAGATTATTACTAAATGATATACATATTTATGTTCATTCATTAAGTCTATTTGTTATTTGTGCATTGGAGTAAATAGACATTAATGCATGCATCCATGCACACAAATATTTATAACCCACATGCAATATCTTGATTTGCTATTGGCTAGGAAATAGTGGGGATGGTGCATGCATCGAGTTTGTTGCTAAAGTAAATATAGTATGAGAGAGTTATTAGTTTTTTTGGTTTTAGTGTATCTATGAAATATGTACATCAATTTGGAATGGAGGGAGTAGTTAATTATAGTGGCGGAAAATAGTGTTATATACTATGAATCTTAAACGGAGATTTATGAGCCCTATTTTTTCACATAAATGAAAATATTAACATGTTCCATTTATAACCGCGGAACAACGTACATTATTATTACACAAAGATTAATTGAAGATAAGTATTATTCATACATATACAAATATCTGTGACGCAATCTATAGGATGTGATATACACCTACGAATATAAGTACGTGAATTTTTTTAAAAAAAAAGAATCTTGGAGTAAATTATTAACGTGATATAGCTAGTTTAATTTGTGATAGGGAATTAAGGATACATAGTCATGTCACCTTCGTCATATATATTAATTATTCACTCTCGATCGATTGCCAAGTAATTATATTATTAACACGCATGTGGTAAACGGTATACCCACATACAGTGACATGGCTAGTCTGATAGAGAAGGATGTACAGTCAAGTCACCTTCATTGTCGATTTTGCCAAGTAGAGTAATTTTTTTAACGCATGGTAAAATGGTAGCTTAGACGTAGACACATGTACAGTGATAGCTAGTCTGATAGAGAAGGATATGTACAGTCTTGTCACCTTCAGATTTGGCATTGGCCATTTTGCCATACACTTGTACGTGCCGATTCACACGCTTGTCGATCTGTGACTGTAGTAGTGTGGCAAGTCTCGGTCTCTCTGGCAATGACCCTGCTTCAATTCATACTCCACTGGTAATTTTACATCTATATATATCCAGCCGTTTATTGAGATAGAGACGTGTAACGGGGAGAGCAGGCCGGTCTAATCCATATATGCATATTTGTGTGAACGATATATAGGCACGAATTTACAAAAAAATATCGGGTATTCTGACTTTTAATTTCTAATGTTTGTTTTTAGAGTAAACTTTATAAAACGATGATTTGACCAAACTATCACAAAACAAATATGCGTTTTTTTTAACCAAAACTACATATTTAGTGTCAAATTTATCACATATCTGCATATTTAAGGCATCTACAGATTATGAGGATATTAAGAACTATACATTTTATAGTTTATATCCATAGCAGAAGTTTAGTTTGTGATAAAACTGATGTTAAATCTATGTGATTTTCTAATACAAATCTATTATTTTGTAAATGAAAATTATGTTAAATCCATAATTTTTGTGATACAAATTTTTAAATATATAGTTTTGTGATATACAAAGTTGAAATTAATTTAATCTTGTTTTTAATGCAAAAATTTATAAATACTAAAAAAGATTACGTATTACAAAAGTTTTTTTTTTGCTTCATACGCATTAGTTTTTTCTTATTTCAACCATTTTAAAAGAAATTAGTGATCAACGTCGACGCAATATTAGCAATATTGTTTAAGGAAGGGAGTACTTTTTTTTGTATATTGTTGGAATTTTATGTTCCCTAGCTTGTGTCCTGTTCATCACGATAGCTACGTATATATATGTGGAATCATCCTGACTCCTGTGGACGAAAAGGTGGGTCGCGAGAAGTACGTTCATGGTAATATCGTATGTATGGAACGACGTTTTACCTTGCGTGAAGTACGTCTTCTGACTACACTTTACACCATTCTTTCATGAAAGAATTATTTTTTTTTTCAAATTCATCCTGAGAAGTTTTTTTTTTCCGGATGGAGTACGTTTTAACTTTGCTTGCGTAGTACCTATAGTAGATATTTCGGTTTTTGATTTTTTTTTTCTCTCCCTTGTCCAGGCAGTTGCGTTTTGTAATTGAAATATTTTTTTTCTAATATATCAACGTGTAATCTTTTTACGCGTTCGTGAAAATATACAAAGAGTCGTTTTTTTTTCCATACGTAGGACATATCCGATATATGTATTGGTACGATAATTAATACTGCCCAGGCAAAGAAAATCGACTCAAAATATTGTACAAACCATGAAGTGTTATTTTTTGCGGATGATAGCACGGTAGCGTAATCAATATGTAGCACTTGGAGATTCTCTAATGCAAATGGGCTAAAGATCTAGGGAATGTCATTTACTCTCGGCACAGTGGAAAAATGTAACCCACTTCCAATTCAACCATTTAGTTTTCCATATACCATAATTCATAACGCCTAACAAAATATGATAGCAAGGAAAGGGATGTCATGTCCTCTTATTTTTACGTGTGAAGAAATTTGATAAGATAGACCAATAGATTATGTACCACTACATAAACATAGAAGTTTAAAATCGACCTATACAAGTTAAAAACAAATAACAAAGATCAAATTTGAACTTGGATGTAGTGTACGTAGTCAGTGCTCTAAATATGGAAGTTTGGAGTGATATACCAAGAATTGATACATCTTGTTCGATTTTTAATTAGTTTTATGGCTATTCGGAAATGTCATGAAGGAGGAAAAACCGTATATATGTGCTAAATCGGGGATGAGCACACACTTGCTTGTCTTCCTACAGTGTGAAATAGCTGTAGCAAATAATCTTGTGAGAGGCCACTGCTAGCTCTAGCTTAGCTGCTCTATGGCACAGGAGAACATATAGGAGATGTAACAGCAAGTGCACAGGGAGGGAAAGAGAGAGAGATGAGTGATTGGCAATACACGCACGTGTCCCAATCCCTCGATCAATCAAGCTAGCCTAGCCTAGCTATATATTAACTAGGGCGCCACACCACAGACGCCGGAGATCAGAACGAATCATATCGTTCAACGAGCGTCCGGCCGGCGGGCGACGCGCTGTCGAGCAAGAGCGCCGCCGCCCGATCAATCGCTCGCCACCATGATTCACCCCAACCAGCCGCTGGCGCTGTCCGCGGCGAAGAACGCGAGCACCGTCGTCGTCGGCTCGCCGCTCCTCGCGGCGTCGCCGGCCTCCTCCCCCGCGGCGGCGTGCTGTAGCAGCCAGCTGCAGCAGCGGCGAGCCGCCGGGCCCGGGAGGAGGGGCGCCGGTAGGCTCGCGGCGCCGAGGTGCAGCACCATCGAGCAGGCCGCCGGCGTGTCGTCGGCCGTGACGGTGGACAGGACGCTGACGGTGACCGCCACGGTGACCGTGCAGCCGCCCATCGGCGTCGTCTACGCCGCCCGCGGCATCGACGACCTCACCGACCTCATCGGCAAGACGCTCCTCCTCGAGCTCGTCAGCTCCGAGCTCGACCCAAGTGAGCAGCACAACATATCCATGGCTTAGCCGAAGCTCCATGGATGCATGGACAAACACATGTAGTAGTAATTAACACCATGTCTATGCATGCAGGGACGGGGAAGGAGAAGGAGACGGTGAGCGCGTTCGCGCACAGGACGATGAAGCAGGACACGTACGAGGCGGAGTTCGCCGTGCCGGCGACGTTCGGGCCGGTGGGCGCCGTGCTGGTGGAGAACGAGCACCACCGCGAGATGTTCGTCAAGGAGATCTGCCTCGTCACCGGCGCCGACGACTCCTCCGCCGTCACCTTCGACTGCAACTCCTGGGTCCACTCCAAGTTCGACAACCCCGACCGCCGCATCTTCTTCACCGTCAAGGTACTACAAACATCGATCGATCTCACCATCACACCATCCATGAACACTTGGAAGCATCATATCAACGACGTCTAGCGCGGCCATGGATCGATGCAGTCGTACCTGCCGGCGCAGACGCCCAAGGGGATCGAGGCGCTGAGGAAGAAGGAGCTGGAGACGCTGCGCGGCGACGGCACCGGCGAGCGCAAGTTCTTCGACCGCGTCTACGACTACGACGTCTACAACGACCTCGGCGACCCCGACTTCAAGATCGAGCACCTCCGCCCCGTCCTCGGCGGCGACGAACACCCCTACCCTCGCCGCTGCCGCACCGGCCGCCCCCACACCGAGATCGGTAACCCCACCTCACCTCCCAGAAATTTTACATCATTTTCACATCAAATTAATCACCTATTCCCTCCGTTTCAGGTTATAAAACATTTTAACTTTTGTCAAAGTCAAACTATTTTAAGTTTGACTAAGTTTATAGACAAATATAATAATATTTATAATATTAAATTAGTTTCATCAAATCAATAATTAAATATATTTTCATAATAAATTTGTCTTAGGTTAAAAATATTACTACTTTTCTCTACAAATTTGGTCAAAGTTAAAACAGTTTGACTTTGACCAAAATCAAAACGCCTTATAACTTAAAACGAAGGGAGTAATAATGATCGAAGACAAACCTAGGACAGCTTAGACCTGAGCCTATGTTTATCTCCATAATCATGCTCAAAAAATTTCTGGCTCAGCCACTGCTAATGGATTAAATGTATATGTAATTAATTAGATCCGCGGACGGAGAAGAGGAGGGGGCCGGTGTACGTGCCTCGGGACGAGCAGTTCTCGGACGTGAAGGGGATGACGTTCAGCGCGACGACGCTGAGGTCGGGGCTGCACGCGATGCTGCCGGCGCTGGAGCCGCTGCTGGCGAACCAGGAGCTGAGGTTCCCGCACTTCCCGGCCATCGACGGCCTCTACAGCGTCGGCATCCCGCTGCCGGCGCAGCTCGCCGCCGCCGGCGCCGCCACTGCCACGGCCGGCGGCGCCGCGGCCTCCTCCTCCACCTCCACCAACATCGTCGGCGGCGTCATCCCCCGCCTCGTCCGCATGATCGAGGACACCACCGACCACGTCCTCCGCTTCGACGTCCCCGAGATGTTCGAGCGTACGTGATAATTAATTAATTACGTGCCATGATTAAAGGCTAATCGGTAGTACTAATTAGTACTCCCTCCGAATGTATTTTAATGTATAACCGTCGCTGACTTTTTAACTAATATTTAAACATTCGTTTTATTCAAACTTTTTTATAAATATGAAAAAATTTATGTCATGCTTAAAGAATATTTGATGATTAATTAAGTCACAATAAAATAAATGATAATTATATAATTTTTTTAATAAGACAACTGGTTAAATATTGAAAAAAACTTAACGACGACATATATTAAAATATAAATATCGAGGTAGTAACATGTTGATTAAGCTATCGAGGTAGTAACATGTTGATTAAGCAATGGATCAATTGGATTTGGCTTTGCATTGCGCAGGAGATAGGTTCTCGTGGTTCAGAGACGAGGAGTTCGCGAGGCAGGTGCTGGCTGGCGTCAACCCCATCTGCATCCAGCTCCTAACGGTAGCACCGCCATTCCCAACCACATACACTATTCACCTGAGGACGACGTCACTTTTCGATGACGTCATCCCCCAAAAAGAATGAATTTTCGCTCGTCCCGTCCTGGTCATCCTTTAATGTGTAGTGGCGAACCCAGAATTTTTATACTAATAAATATTTCAAAAAATATACATATGTTGATGTCTTTAGGAGAGAAAAGATATATAGCAGTAGAAAAATAAACAAGGGGTACAGTGGCAGATGGAAAATTTTTTACAATGGGTATTAAAAATTATGTAGTATTTAAAAAACATGTTAGAGACTTTATATGACAAAAAAATGAAACAGTACAATATTTGGGTAAAAGCTGGGTGGCTGAGACTAGGAATCGAACCCAAGATCCATAATGGGTATATTAAAAATCACGTACTCCAGTATTTAAAAACATGTTAGTGTCTTTAGCAGAAAAAGGATTCAATAATAAAAAGAAAATATGCATCCTATATGTTAGCATCATACTCCCTTCCTCAATTTATGGCATGAAGTTATACCCATCTTAAACTCTCAACTGAGTTTTTTGCTGATGTGGTTTTGAAATTTAAAAATATATATATAACTAACAAGTTGTAAATGATACAAACAATTCTTTTAATTAAAAATAATCATATATTAACCATACGGTAAAATTTTAATGTTTATATAATCATAAAAGTAGCCCATGAATTAAATGCACAGGTTTCCTAAAATTTATATGCAGAAACTTTTATAATACATACTATTTTATATTAAAAACAATTGAATTCGAATCTAAATTAAAATCTGGCATAAACTTTTGGTGTAAAAATTTTAGGGGTATAAACTTTAGTTATATAAACTTAACAAAAAAATAAAAATCGCGTGACAAAAAAGAAAGTGTGGCCGTTCACAGTGTGCAAACATTAGCCCTTTTCGCTAGATAATTTCCCTCTCAATATTTAGCTAAAAGGTTTTAATGGCTTTAAATAAATGACACTATTGCTTTTTCTAATTTCTAGGACTATTTGTCATTTGTTAGCATCATATTCCCTTCTTCCTCAATTTATGGCATGAAGTTATACCCATCTTAAACTCTCAACTTAGTATTATGTTGATGTAGTTTAGAATTTAAAAATGTATATATAACTAACAAGCTGTAAATGATACAAAAAATATTTTAATTGAAAAATAGCCATATATTAACCATATGGTAAAAATTTAGTATTTATATAATCATAAAAATAGCCCATGCAATGCATAGGTTTTAAAATTTATATGTAGAAACTTTTAATACATACTCATTTTATATATTAAAAAAACATTTGAATTCGAATCCAAATTAAAATCGGACATAAACTTTTGTGGTAAAAATTTTAGGTGTATAAACTTTAGTTATATAATTAAACTTAGCAGAAAATAAAGTGTGGCCGCTCGCAGTGCGCAAACATTAGCCCTTTCGCTAGATAATTTCCCTCTCAATATTTAGCTAAAAAGTTTTAAATGGCTTTAAATAAATGGCGCCATTATTGGCTTTTCTAGTTTGTATGACTATTTTTCATTTGTAGAAATATTTGTGCAAATAGACAAACATACGAGTCGTAAAGTATTATTGATGACAAATCTAGTGGTATCCCTTTTTTTCTATTTTGCTTAACATTGAACGAATGTCTGTTTTTAAAAGTTTTGAGGAAAAAAGTCTCAAATGGTGTGAGTAGCAACTAAGGAAAACCGAACTCACCAATTAATTAATGGCGATCGATCGACGTGTGCAGGAGTTTCCCATCGTGAGCAAGCTGGACCCGGAGGTGTACGGGCCACCGGAGTCGGCGCTGACGAAGGAGTTGCTGGAGAGCCAGATCGTGGAGTCGGTGACGGTGGAGGAGGCGATGGCGCAGCGGCGGCTCTTCATCCTGGACTACCACGACGTGTTCCTCCCCTACGTGCACCGCGTCCGCGAGCGGCCGGAGACGACGCTCTACGGCTCCCGCACGGTGTTCTTCCTCACCGGCGCCGGCACGCTGTCGCCGCTCGCCATCGAGCTGGCGCGGCCGCAGTCGCCAACGAGGCCGCAGTGGAGGCGCGCCTTCGTCCACGGGCCCGACGCCACGGCGTCGTGGCTGTGGAAGCTCGCCAAGGCGCACGTCCTCTCCCACGACACCGGCTACCACCAGCTCGTCAGCCACTGGCTCCGCACCCACTGCTGCGTCGAGCCGTACATCATCGCCGCCAACCGGCAGCTCAGCCGGATGCACCCGGTGCACCGCCTCCTCCACCCACACTTCCGCTACACCATGGAGATCAATGCCCTGGCCAGGGAGAGCCTCATCAATGCCGACGGCATCATCGAGGAGTCCTTCTGGCCCGGGAGGTACGCCATGGAGCTCAGCTCCGTCGCCTACGCCGCCACGTGGCGCTTCGACGCCGAGGCCCTGCCCGAGGACCTGGTGCGCCGCGGGCTCGCCGTTCGACAGGAGGACGGCGAGCTCGAGCTCACCATCAAGGACTACCCGTACGCCAACGACGGGCTGCTGGTCTGGAACTCCATCAAGCAGTGGGCGTCGGATTACATCGACTTCTACTACAAGTCCGACGAGGAGGTCGCCTGCGACGAGGAGGTGCGGGCGTGGTGGGAGGAGGTGCGCACCAAGGGGCACGCCGACAAGAAGGACGAGCCGTGGTGGCCGGCGGTGGACACCCGGGACGGGCTCATCGGCGTCTTGACCACCATCATGTGGGTGACCTCCGGCCACCACGCCGCCGTCAACTTCGGGCAGTACCACTACGGCGGCTACTTCCCGAACCGGCCGACGGTGATGAGGAAGAAAATGCCGGTGGAGGAGAACAAGGAGGAGGAGATGAAGAAGTTCATGGAGATGCCGGAGCACGTGCTGCTGGACACCATGCCGTCCAAGATGCAGGCCATCACGATCATGGCGACGCTGGACATCCTGTCGTCGCACTCCCCCGACGAGGAGTACATGGGGGAGCACGCCGAGCCGGCGTGGCTGGCGGAGCCGAGGGTCAAGGCGGCGTTCGAGAGGTTCGCAGGGAGGATGAAGGAGATCGAGGGCATCGTCGACGAGCGGAACAACGACCCGGAGCTCAGGAACAGGTGCGGCGCCGGCATCGTGCCGTACGAGCTGCTCAAGCCGTTCTCCACGCCCGGGGTCACCGGGAGGGGCATCCCAAACAGCATCTCCATCTGAGTTTCGCTAGCTAAGATAGCTAGCTGCATTTGGGACAAGATTGGAGATGGTTAAGATTTGTACACTAAGATCATGTACCAACACTAATAGCTCCCGTGTATGCCTGCCTGCCACGGGAGAGGCATTTGCTAGTGTGTTTGAGTTACTAGAATGCCACAAATTAGTAAAGAGGTTATTGAACTAAAGCTCAGTTCGCTGAGTTTTCTAGAAATTGGCAGTATGTCATGCGGACGGATGGGATCTGCTGGATTCAGCACATATCATCCAAGAAAAATTACTCACAGCAGAACAGGCATGTCATGCATGTGACTGAATCGAGCAGCATTGTGAGTTGATCAGGACCAGCATGGCATCGTGTTTATAGTTCATTGGTCACTGGCTAACGAACATCGTTACCCCCGGGGTTCCAGACAACGAACTATACAGCTAAGCTGAGACACTGCCAGGATGCGTATCTTTTTAGAATGCAAGACGGTTAGGAAAGATAAGGGTATTGGAGCCGACCACAAAGGCACAAAGTGATTAGTCAGGGGAAGATAAGGCTGGACCTGCCTGTTAGAGTTCACTAGAAAGAGCATTCCGAGCAGCATCTCCATGCTCACGCCGGCTCATTTGAGTCCAAACTTGTGGAGTTAAACGGTTCCTAATACATCTAGCCACGCGTGACTTGGATGTAAAAGAGTCCACTTCGCTCGGTTCTCTGAGGTCAAGTGATCAACCATGAAAAATTTCAAGTCTTGTGCAGTCCACTTAGCACAGCAGCTTTGGGTTTCTCCGTTTGAAACTGACAGGGTGTGCAGAAAGTGATGCGGCGCTTGAAATACTTGAGTACCGCTCCTCGAGTACAGAAATTGGGGGGGTGGAGGGAAGGGCTTTATCTCTGGGAGATGCAGCCTCCGGTTGCACTTTGACTTACTAAATTAGAGCAATGAAAATAAGGCTTCGAAATGAAGAATATAAGAACAAAAATGGAAGTGTGTGTTATCGAGTGAGGTACCTGTAAAGGATGGCTCGAAATACGGTCTGGTTGTTTTGAAAGAGGGTTCCTGAGCATCAACCTCCAAGTGTTGTGTCGTCGTGCTGGTCTTTTGAAGACCTGTCGACTGGACAAGCTTCAGTAGTTTGTCTGTTATGACTGTCATTGGCGGACGGAGCTCTGGTGATTTCTGCATTGAAGGAAGAAATACAGCCAGTAATGATCACAAATATAGGGTGCTGAAATTCATTCGATGAATTCATAAATCATTAGGACCGCAGTAATTAGACATTTTTCAGCTATAATCCCCTTCAATTCCCATTTAGGAGCAGAGTCTAAGCATTAAGGAGTAGTGCATGCGGTGTTTCAATTTGCAGCTTGGCTTCTATCCTCAAGGTAGCATAGTTCAACTAAGTAATGTGTACCAGAAAAAGGTAACGGACAGTTACCTTGATGCAGAGTAAGATGATGTTGCCTAACGTAGAGATAGCTTGAGGTGGCATAGATGCATGTATTCTTGGATCAGTTATTCTTTCCAAAGAATCAAGGTTATGGAGATGAGGAGATGCCCAATCAACTAGAAACTGCTCATTCTGCCTTCTTGAACTGAAGAGGAAAAAGAACTTCATTAGAGAACCAGACTACAGCTGTACAAGATTAAGTGAGCATATACCTGTCAAAGGCCTTCTGCCCAGTCAAAAGCACGAGCAAAATCACACCGAAACTGTAAATGTCAGCCTTGATGCTATCTGTTGCTGGGTCAGTAAGCTCAGGTGCAACATAGCCTTTACCACTGTTGAGAGCTTCTGAGTCCTGTTTTTTCAGGTGAGGAACTGTTAACGGTCAACGGATTATACAGAAGATATATCATTGACTTTGAAAAACACCAGTATCCCCTTAATATGTGTGTGATTTTTCTACCCACTTCTGAAGGGACCACGGTTGATCCTAGTAGGGACACACACATATACATCTTTCAAATATTTCAAGGGAGAGTAGCTTGTTTTGATATAACACTATAATGTATAGGAGTCTATCCAGCGACCTACCTTTGATTTTGGTTGAGATGCAACTGTAAGCAATCGTGACAAAATTCCAAAAGTATGGGTCTAAACTGGCTTATTATTAATTTAGTCTTTCTTCCTTTTGGAAAATAGTTCAAGAGCTATAGCGTTCACCAAAGGACATAAGCACCAGCCCGGTGCCTTGGTCTTAGGACTTGAACCCAAGCAGATGGGGAGGTTAAACAGCCTCACCATCAACAGGACAAACCCTTTTCCCTAAAAAGCTAACTTTATGGATCGTTTTTTCTCAATGCATCCTTCTCTGTCTAAACTTAAAATTCCTTATCGTTAAGTATGCAGTAAGAACTCCAAGAGATTGGCAATCCATGACAACAATTAGATCCTAGAATTGTTCAAGTAAAACATTAACTATATCACCATCACTAATGATTATGTACAGAAGTAAGAACACTATCCAATATAACATGGAAAACTAGTGAGCACTGACCGTTCTTATGGCACTGACAAATTGGCTTAGCCTGGCTAATCCACAGTGGCTGAGGTAGGGCATGAGCTGAGCATCGAGCAAAATATTTGTCGCTTTAATATTTCCATGAACAACTGGAGGAGAGCACGTCGAATGCATGAATCTGCATAAGCTTCAAAATTTCAGGAAAGCTTCCAGTATATGTCTAAAAATTGACATCAGTTCAGCAGAACAATTTACAGAAAGCCATTAACACTATGAGGATGTGTATACCCTGCAGTACAAAACAAACAGCTAGATGATTTGGTAGGAATCTAAGTCCACAAAAATGTACTTACTCCAAAGCATAGGCAACTCCAAGAGCAATCTTCATCCGAGCTTTCCATGACAAAGCCCTGGACCTTGTGGCTGCTGAAAACAAAATATCATCAAGAGAGCCATTTTCTGCATATTCATATAGAAGTGCACAGTGCCCAAACTCGACACAGTAGCCCACAAGCGCAGAGATATTGGGGTGCTTCAAATTGGACATTTTCCCAAGCATGTCTATGAGCTCATCTTGTTCCGATAATGACAGATCTACCATGTTGATCTTCTTGATAGCCAGGAGCTGCATGTACGAGGATAAATACATGTTATACATATAAAACACAGATGTAAAATAATCTGTAGAAAAAATATGCGCCTTTACTATTTAGCAAATGATAAATTTGATAAATCACATATTTTTTTCTAATATTGATTTCGGGAAGTTGCAATGAGACTAGGAATTGCATCCTCCTCGTGCATTGAATTTTAAAGCTTATCGAGAGATCAAGAGAAAAAAAATGTCAACGATGCAAGACAAGTTTTATTGCCGATAAGAAAAGGAAAACGGCCAGTTGATGAACAAAAAGTAGTAGTAAATAAACTTAATACACCAACTAAAGGAAAATTCAGTATTAGGACACTGAAACACGTAGTAGAAATTAGATTCGAGAGCTTGTTCTAAAGTAACAAACCAATAGTATTTTCCAACAGGGTACTAACAATATGATACCTGGCCACCAGGAAAATCACCTCTGTAAACTTGGCCAGTGAAACCTTCACCAATAAAGCATTCTTTACTGAAGTTCCTGGTAGCTGCTAAGATGTCAACAGCTTGAAACTGTTTTGCAGTTAGAAAGTTTTTGGATGTCTTGGCCCAAACTTTTGTTTTCATAGCTCTTTCAGGCTTAATGACGTCACTAGAGGAAGCCTCACAGTCATTCATAAGAGAATTCCAAGAGTACAAGACCTCATTTGCTTTAGGGACTGTAAAATGATATGTATGAATTTCAGTGATATGAAAGAATGTAAGTCTATCCAATAATGCAACATGCAGGAATGGAGAACAAGTATATATATACATGATTGGATATTACATACAGATCCTAACATAAGGATGAATATTAAGTGATGAACAAGAATATATAGAATATGTCTAGCCATCAACTACAATTGCATAAGCCGGTTATGCTTAAACTAATAAAGTTCCAGTGCTACCTTTTTCCACATTGGCAGGTGGAGATTTGGCATTGTTAGCGGTGCTCTTAGGACTGTATGTGCAGCTTTTCAGAACCAAGCCAACAATGAGGAGCACAAAAGCTGTACCAGTAACAGTAGCTATTGCAGCAGCTGTCACTCGAGAGTGTGACTTCCTGTGCTGATTATGGTTGTACATAGAAGAATGGCTTAAGGAAGGCTTCAAAGGTTCGGGCTTGTGTTTCAAATTTTCCTTAACTGCTGGTGGAGGTGGGGACATAGGTGGTGGAGGTGAAGATGGAGGTGGATGTGGAGTTGGTGGTGAATGAGCACTCCTGGTAAATGAGGGAGATGCACGTTTGAAACCTGGTTGAAACTGGTTCCCATCAATCCTGGAATGTTAGATTAGCCACTTATTTCAACTAGATATGAAGTCAAGGCAACATGTATGCATAAATATCCTACGGAAAGAAACGTGGGTTATTAAGCAGAACCGAATACCTCAACTCAGGAATGGACTCAAAAGTTCCTGGCACATAACCACTGAAGCTATTGTTTTCAATGTTGCTGCAACCAGTTGATAATTGTCAGGAAGGATGAGAATAAACAAATATAGAGAAGGATAAAATACAGTTGAATTTCTTACAGGGATGATAATGGAAGGTCTGCCAACAAAATAACAGATCCTGTGAACTCATTATGCTGTAAATAACTGTAAAACCAAAACAAAATGAACCTTTTATATTCTAGCATATTTTTGTGCATGAAATCGTTAAGAACGCACATCATTCTTACAGGTGATGAAGGTTCTTCAATGAGCTAAACGACGTTGGCAAGTCACCACTGAAAGAGTTGAATGATAAATCCCTGAAGTTGAATACGAACAAAAATGAGGTACAGACTACAGTGGGTGAAAGATCGAATTACTCGAAGATATATAGCTAAATTTGCATGGAGAATTATAGTAGAATTGCAAGAAGGTCCAAAGGAACTACTCTAGCATCAAAGTGTGTGCCCATATTAACAGGTCAAATGAGCTTGAGCCTTGAAGATTGTTTTTTAAGAAACCATAAAGCAAATAAATGCAAAAATAGAAACAAACAGACTGTAAAAACTTATGTATCAAATGATCCATGTGATTTATGTGAGTGCAACGAAACATGCATTTTTGTGGGGTGGCTAAGAAAACATGCAGTTATTCACAATAATGGAGGGGGAAATCTAGGAAACACAAATGTATGCAGTTAAGCATGGCTGAAGCTTCTCTTGTACATGCAAATATTAAATAATGTTTGGGCTGCAAGAATTCGCATGTCGTTGCAGGCTACAGTGCAAGAAATAATTCATTTATTCAAGAGGATAAAGAAATTAGAATCTGGGAGCACTACATTGTTCCTAAGCTTTCCATGTTGACAAAAACATCACCAATTATTCCAGAGAGCTTATTGTGGCTGAGGTTCCTGCAGCAAAGATTAATTACAGGCCAGTTATTTGATTCTGCAACCAGAGTTCACTATAGAAAATTAGGAAGTGCTCCAATTGCCAAAAATGCACTCACAGATATTTCAGAGTGTGCAACCATGGTAGTGACGGTGGTATACTCCCCTCAAACTGGTTGGCTGCGAAATTTCTACAGGAGCACAACATATGGCGATTATGTCAACCATAGTTCATATTTGATATTTAACCCAGCCAAAAGGGGGATAACCGAAATACAAAGAGAACATACAGGTATTCCACACTTGGGGGCAAATTGCGCGGGATTTCACCAGCAATGTTATTGAAGCTCACATCCCTACGGTCGTCATGATTCAGCGAAGCAAAGAAATTAAAGACTGGACTAAGAACAGCAGAATCATGATATGCTAACAGATTATCACAAACTTTCTGGTCAAAAGCTCACAGTATTTTCAGAGAGTAAAACTTGAGCAGCTCCAGACCAAGCCACCCGCCAACTCCTAGCCCACTAATATTTCTGTGTACGAGTGAAAGAAGAGCAAAATATTCAACTCAGTTAATAATCCCTGCAAAGTTGCAGGTGAAACTGATCAGGAAGTTAAGAATAACTGAAGAATTACAAAGCGACAATGGACGAATCCCTGCAAAGGACTCCATGCCATGGCCGTTGTTCACCACCGCGGCCACAGGGGTCACCGCCCTGAGATGTCCACCCAGAAAGCTGCCATGGAGAATCCAATGTTCGATATAATTCCCAAAGCCCTAAAGCTGTAGAACAACCAGAAACAACAGAAAATTAAACATAAGGCAGCGAAGTCATACACAAACATGAAGACGGCATGACACGCAGGAATTGAACAAAGGTAACTACGATACGGTCACAATAGCATGCACACTCTTGTTGTGGCACACAATCACATACATCGATGTGGACAGGATCAGATCAGAACCAACACGAACACTAATACCAAATGGGAGCAAGCATAGATATTCATCATGAGACTGTGCAAACTACTGCACACGCACTGGGCAAACTCATGCTCGCGCAATCACCGAATCACGAGTACGCGTGCGGCGTGCGCGCGATGGCTAGCTGCGCCGTCAAACCAGCACAGACCCAGCCCTCGCAAGCAAGCGCGCGAGCTCGGAGTAGAGGCATCAAACGGTAACTGCTCGATCGCTACAGATTAGGGGTTGAGTAGACTCACCATCGGAGGGGTCGGTGAACCCTGATACGGGGGCGAACGCGGCGCACAGCACCGCCGCGGCGAGGAGGAGGCGAGGCAGCGCCGCCGCCGCCATTCCGATGCCTCCGCGGCTCAGCGCGCCCCCTCCCCCCCAAAATCCAGCGCCGCCGCCGATCGCCACGAAATCCAGACCAAATCGAGCGATCCGCGCACGAAATCGCCGACGACGCCAACCGGAACGTTCTCGAACTTTCCCAAAACCCCCCGCGCTCGCGCGCTTGCTCCCGACGCCGCCGCTCCCCCAGATCCGCGCGCCCCCGGCCGTCTCCCGATCGGGCCGAGCAATCCGCCCGCGAATTGGAGGAACCCACCGGTTGGGGGGGAGGATCGAATCTCCCCGAGCGGCCGGCCGGAGAAGCCACGGGGATTCGCGAGGAGGGTTTAGGGTTTTTCAAAAGTTTGGGAGGATTCTCGCTTTGGGAGGGAAGAAGCATGGGGTGGGGAGGAGGAGAGGGCGGTCACGTGAGGGGCGCGTGAGAGGCCGTTACGGCGGCGGGAAATGGAGGAGAGAACGAGGAACTATTTTGGGGAGCAGCAAAATTCTTCCGGAATCAAAAACATCTCTATCTGAATAATTTGGTTTCTCGTTCAGATTTCGAAAAACAGAAGTTACAAAATCTAGAAAATCAACGAAAAGTAAAAGGCTTGTTTTTCCTCGTTTAGATTCTCACAATATGATGAATTGCCACCAGCTACTTTTAGAATCTAAAAATTTCTTCCATCAGAAAAAAAAATGAATCTAAAAATTTCCTAAACGAATTATGAGAGGTTTGTTATAGGAACTTCCGGCTGTTACAGAAACTTCGGCTGTGTTCTGCCCATAAGCTTTCAACTCATCATCCTCCCTCGTTTATCGTGTGCATGTTTTTTAAATTGTTAAACGGTGTGTGTTTTATAAAATGTTTTTATAAAAAAGTTGTTTTTAAAGATCATGTTAATCTAATTTTTTTAGTTTTGTATAGCTTTTTTTTTGCGGGGATAGTTTTGTATAGCTAGTACTTAATAAATCCTAAGTTAACCTATTGTCTCATGTATACTTTGTATCAAATTATCAATTGTTGTTTAGTCTAATATATGTTATAACTAGGATAAAGAAAATGTAATTGGAGTTCACATTTGCCATGTGCTTGTGAAATTTGTTTATTTAAGGTGCTTGCAAAATCATATTTATCAATGTACGTCAAACATTCGAGCCATGAATACTAGTTGTGTCCAAATAAAGGGCAGATAATTGATGTCATGGCATGGAAGGTTATTGGCGGTTTTATGTCGCGACACATTGTGGATATGCTGCACTATTAACAGATGATTATACGCTTCGACATATAGAAAAAGGATAAATATAAAACCAATGATGCCATGTGTTTGTCTTTTCTAATTGAATATTATTGGACAATTAATGAGAAAGGCGTGTCCGAGATATAAGGGTAACCACAATATTTATTTACCAACTTGATAGTAACGTGGGTCTCAATATCCGACAATAGTTGTTATTAGCAGGTTTCATAATGTTTAGTGCTGAAGTGGTAATTAAGATGGGGTTCACATTTAATGCTACTTGAGAAGATTGTTATGCATACACGAGCAAATAGTATATTTTAATGGTTTATTGCTAGTAGTAAGCATACTACTCGGTTATAACTACCATCTCTACCACAATGTATCTTACCAGGTAAGAAGCTAGCATTAATTGCTTATTACCCATTTTATCCTCATATTGTGGTTACTCTAACAACACCAAATGGTTTTGTCCAAGAATAAATCTACAGTGCGTGGCTTTACTATATATACTTTACCTTTACCAATCTATATCATCATGGTAACTCACCTTTTATCCAAGCTGCTAGGGATATCAAAAGCATCAGCAAAGATGCGATAGGGTGCATAGGTGTTGATTCTAGGATTACGGGTCTGCTTATTTTCACTCGGCTATATATTTATCGAAGCTAATGGTTATGAGGTTAAAGTGACGGCATTAGCGAGACGCGACACGTGGCAACGATAATCTGTATTTAGTAAAATTGGGTGTCGGTATGGATTGTCTTTTTGACAATATTATTATCCGGTGCTTTCTTTAAAGGTGGAGTCATCTAATATTAGAACTTTGCAGTGGAGTGAAAAAACCATTTCTGGATTTTCTACTTTATTCTTAGGGGCAATTGTATTCTTGCCCCTACTTTCATTTGCAATTGTGATTTTACCCTTACTTTTTAAACTTTGTGATTTTGCCCTCACTTTTTGACGTTGAATGGTCTGTTTGCCCCTGGTTTAAACGTCTGTTAGGTGGACTCAGATTAAATGAGTTTAAGAAAATAAGAAATTGACTTGCAAAATGTAAAAAGACATCTCTATCCCAAACCTTTCAACCTAAGCCACTGCTGACTCCTCCGTCCCCGATTCCTAACCCTCGCGAGCGGTGGCGGCACACGCGGGCAAGCGAGAGCGAGGAGCGCGCGGTCGTCGCGGAGGAGCGCGGGGTGAAGCAGGCTGGGCCGGCGCCAAATGGCGATGTCAAGCTGAGCTAGCCCGTCGCCGTCCGCCGTGGTGGTCACTGGGCTCGTCGGCATCGGCCTCGGCTATAGTACCCGAACCGCTGCACAGCAGATGATCGAGTACATACGTACTGTTGCATATGCGTAGCTAGCTAGGCTGCCTTGCCACCATTAGCATGGCCGCGAGGAGCTCGCCTGAGGCATGATGGTGACAAGGAGGAGAAGAACAGCAAGGAGAGGAGGAGAGGAACATTTGAGTTTTATTGTCTTTTACTTTTTCTTCTTTGTCACTCCCCCTTTAGTTTTTATTTTTCTTACTGCCTTGGACTATTGGTTGGTTCCTAAACTGGACAGGACCAACAAAGCTATTCTGTTGTTGAAAGAAAGAGATGAGAGTAGTGTTTCTTGTTTGCATATTCATAAATCCCTTGACTGTTAAAATGATTAAACATGCAGGGCAAGTTCATACGTCAGGCATTGAGGCATTGAATTCATACCTCAGTCCATAGTGTTTCTTAATTAATAAATCCCTTGATTTTTTTTAAACATATGCTGGAGAATCGCATTTCTTGTGTAGTTACAAAGTTGGATTTCGTTGTTAAAATAATTAAGCATGCAGGGCAAGTTCATACCTCCGTTTTCTACTGTAATCGTGAAACACAGCCAAAACACAAAGTCCTCACAAGCCAAATCTGCAAGGGCATAGATGTCCTTTTACCTGTCAGTTAACACCATTAAAGTCCTCCTGACGGAACAGGGGCATACCTGAGCTTCAGTTCAAAATAGTGAGGGTAAAATCACAAAGTTAAAAATACAAGGGTAAAATCACAATTGCAGTTGTAAATAGGGACAAGAACACAATTACCTCTTATTCTTATGATTGTATCGGGTCGACATGCTCCACCCAATGGAGGTAAGTAAGGAAAGTAAGCTCCCTCCAGTTATAATGCCCTGCAAATTTAGCAACATATTAGTGCTATTGTTAAGATGTACCAAAAATAAAATACAACCATTTGTGGGCAAGAGAAAACAGATAACATTAGCAGAGCAAAAAATGGCATCCCATTTCACTGCAGTAAAAAAAAAAACAGAGAGAAACGGAATAGCAGAGGCTACTACAGGGCACCGCACAGTGCAGCGGCCAGCAGTGCAGTACACCACTGCAGAGTGCAGACGAAGGCAAGCGTGGCTGCAACCGCAAGCAGCAAAAGCAAAACCCCGGAAGCTTCCCCCAAAATCTCTCTCTCCCTCTCCCCACTATAAATCCTCCCCTCTCGTCGATCGCCATGGCTCCCATGCTCTCGATCGCCTCCCGCTCGCCCTCGCCGGCGTTGATTGCACCTCACGCCTCCGCCCGCGCCACCGGTCTTCGTGCTCCGTTCGCCGGCAACCGCATTGTGGGGTGGGGGTGGGGGGATCAAACCAAATCAGGTACGGATCGTAATCGCGCATCGATCTGTGTCGTCCTGTTCCTGCGCGTCCGCTCCGGCGAGCCCACGCAGGCGCCGCGGGATCCCCCTGCTGCGGTAGGCGGCGGCGGCTGCTACGTCCGGCTGCCGGCGCCGCCGCGAGACCGGGACGCGGTTTTGGTAAGCACGATCCATTTCTTTCTCCCCCGAATTCCGACCCGCTCGTTTGGTTGATTGGTTTCGATTCGGTCGTGCGGCCTCGGGTCACGTACATTTACTTCTACTACGAGCAAGCCTAATAATACAGCCGACTTGTTGGTTATAAGGTTCTGTGTAGCATTCTCTCAGCCTACCCATATAATAGTTAGCTCCTTACAATTAATACAGGGCTCACATGTCTCTCTCGTAGAGTTTCTTGGTTCCTGTGTCTAAGCCGGCTGTAAGTTTATAGCCCGCTTCTCCTCTCTCTCCTCTCTTTTCTCCTCCACCTCAATATTTAACCGGCTTATAGTCTACTATTATACTTGCTCTACTACGACCATAGCAGTACAAGCGTGCAGTTTTGGAGTTTATTAAACTTTAAAGTTGGAGTAGTTGTACTACTATCCGAAACGTAATTAGTAAGCGCAAGTCAATTCTACTATCGGACAAGTAATTACGTTTCGGTTAGTAGTTTTTTAATATATCTCTCGTTTAATGCGAGTAGCGGCTTATAAGACAAAGACATGTGTACAAGCGGCGATAAATAACTATAGACTATAGAGTATGGACCTTATATTTCTACTAGCTAAATAATCATGCTTTTATACGGATTAAAACAAATTAAGGTTTTTGGGACAATTTCATTCTAGATGAAATAAGATAGAATCATATGTAGAAGGATTATTTTATAACATTAAAGCATGTAGAGTAATTGGAAGAAAACATGATGGGGTAGTCGGTAAATAAAAAAAAACTTGGTGAGGTGGCAACATTGCTCTCTTTTATAAGGAGTATAGATTCTTAGCGGCCCAAAACTAAAGTTAAAAATGGAAAATTACGAAAACCTTAAATTAATTATATATCTCATGGGATTTAAATTTGGTTGCTGCTTATAAGCCAACGAGGGTCTAGGAACCGATAAAATTTGTAAAACCAAAGGGCGATAAATAAATCTCAGGGATACGAACACATATGCTTCAGCCAGTGCCCGGTGGATAGAAAGGCTATACATAGGAAAGGGAAAAGAGACTTGCAAAAATACTATTGTTCTAGTAGAAAGTTTCATGTTGGTAATTAATTTAACTTTTTTTTTGATCAAAGGGCCTTAACCCTCCATTTCCATTAAAAGAAATGTCACAGTTTACAGCAGAAAAAAAAAACAGACTTAATTTAACATTTGTCTCAGTTCTTCAGCAATTGAAAGTTGTTTCGTCTGGAGTTGGGATAATTTTACTAGTTTTACAAAGGATTATTCTGTGGGACTTGAATATATTAACTTGCGGTTTTGAGTTTGTGCCGTGTGATGTCGATTGAAGTGTGGATTGGTCCTTTCTTTCTTGAATATGTTGCCATCTGCTTTTGAAATGTTGGCACTCTTGACAAATTGACAAAGAAAATATTAGGCTTGTTTGCTAATCATTTCTTATTTTCTTGTAGTTGTATGTAGTCGACGGTTCCAGAAAACTGAGTAGCTGACAGGTGCTGCCTTTTTCTTGTTGCAGGATTTATTTCTCAAAGACTACCATTTCAGATTACTGAAGTTGGGCGATCTGCATAACTAGCACGGTGCCACGGTTTTTGAGAAGAAGAACGAGCAATGGTTCGACAGGTACCTGGTTTAAGTTCTTTCTTTCAGCTGTTTGCCTGGACACTTCATTGCATTGGGTCGATGTTCTGGGCTGTCAAGAACTCTGCTGCCTGAACAATGATGTTTTTTTTGTTTATCTAGTTAGTTTGCATGTGAAAATATCATTAGTTTATTCATATTTATATTGAATTTTTATTAGACATATTTACTGCATTTCTTTAGCTTTGCTATTACATTTACTTCATTTGTTGAGCAGATATGCATAAGCTAGATTCTTCTATCTAAAAATATGTATAAGCTGGACAGCCCCCAAATACATAGCCTTGAGTAGAAAACAATACTATATCTCAAAATATAAGATTCATAGTATCAGCTATGCCTATACCATACACATCAAATTCACTGTATCATAAAAAACGAGATTTGGAGGGAGAGGCGTTCCTCCAACAATTAAATAAGAAATTGTGAGCGTGTTGGGGATTGAACACGGGATTTTGGGGTTAAAACCACACATCCCTTGCGCTGCATTATCAAGTGCATCTCAAATTCACTGTATCATAGTCTACCTGTAATTGCTGAGCATTTGCAAATTAGAACCTTGAACATAAGTCAAGTGTTATAATTCTTTCCTTCAGCTGTTGGTATTGTTATTGATTTTGTTACCTGAATAACGATGCCTTTCATTGTAACTCTCCCTTTCCTTTTTCCAGTATCACGTTTGCTTGTTCACTCTACTTCTCTGCTTCATCCCTATCACTGCTTTGGCGGAATCCGATATCAAGAATTTATTTGCTCTGAGGAAAGCAATCGCTGTTGGAAAAGGCTTCCTCCACAACTGGTTTGAGCTAGAAACTCCTCCATGCAACTGGTCAGGTATATCATGCGTGGGGCTTACTGTTGTGGCCATAGACCTGTCATCTACGCCACTCTACGTCGATTTTCCATCACAGATCATTGCATTCCAGTCACTCGTTCGGCTCAATGTAAGCGGGTGCGGGTTTTCCGGTGAGCTTCCAGAAGCCATGGTGAATCTGCAGCATCTCCAGCACCTAGATTTGAGTGATAATCAGCTTGGTGGCCCTCTACCTGCCTCATTATTTGACTTGAAGATGCTGAAAGTTATGGTGCTTGACAACAACATGTTCTCTGGACAACTAAGCCCTGCCATTGCTCACCTTCAGCAGCTCACCGTGCTATCCATATCCACGAATTCCTTCTCTGGAGGCCTCCCTCCAGAGCTAGGCAGTCTGAAGAACCTGGAGTACCTCGACATTCACACAAATGCATTTAGTGGATCAATACCGGCATCTTTCAGTAATCTATCTCGGCTCTTGTACCTTGATGCAAACAATAACAATCTCACCGGATCAATATTCCCGGGAATAAGAGCGTTAGTCAACCTTGTCAAGCTCGATTTATCGTCAAATGGTTTGGTGGGGGCAATCCCCAAGGAGCTTTGTCAACTGAAAAATCTGCAAAGTTTAATCCTATCAGACAATGAGTTAACTGGAAGCATCCCAGAAGAGATTGGTAATCTGAAGCAGCTTGAAGTACTCAATCTCCTCAAATGCAATCTCATGGACACCGTCCCTTTGTCGATCGGCAATCTCGAAATCTTGGAAGGGCTTTATATATCATTCAACAGCTTCAGTGGTGAGCTTCCAGCATCTGTTGGTGAGCTACGCAATCTGAGGCAGCTGATGGCGAAGAGTGCAGGGTTCACTGGGAGCATACCGAAAGAACTCGGCAATTGCAAGAAGCTTACTACTCTAGTTCTGTCCGGCAATAACTTCACTGGCACTATACCTGAAGAACTTGCAGATTTAGTTGCCGTTGTCTTGTTTGATGTGGAAGGAAACAGACTCTCAGGCCACATTCCTGATTGGATTCAGAACTGGAGTAATGTTTCATCTATATCGCTTGCGCAGAACATGTTCGACGGACCTCTACCGGGTCTTCCATTACATCTGGTTAGTTTCTCTGCAGAATCCAACCGGCTGTCAGGATCTATCCCTGCCAAGATATGTCAAGGCACCTTTCTGCAGATACTTAGATTGAATGATAACAATCTGACCGGGAGTATCGATGAGACATTTAAGGGATGCAAGAACCTTACTGAGCTAAGCTTGCTAGATAACCATCTCCACGGAGAGATACCAGAATACTTAGCTTTGCTACCACTGGTGTCACTTGATTTGTCACATAACAATTTCACAGGGATGATCCCTGACAGGTTATGGGAATCATCAACCATCTTGGACATCTCTCTCAGTGATAACCAGCTAACTGGCATGATCACAGAGAGCATTGGTAAGCTCTTGAGCTTGCAATCGTTGAGCATCGACAGAAACTACTTGCAAGGACCTCTCCCTCGATCGATCGGCGCTCTAAGGAATCTGACAGCACTGTCTCTCAGTGGCAACATGCTATCTGAGGACATTCCAATACAGCTCTTCAACTGCAGAAACCTTGTCACATTGGACTTGAGCTGTAACAATCTGACAGGGCACATCCCCAAGGCCATATCTCACTTGACAAAGCTCAACACCTTGGTCCTGTCCCGGAATCGGCTGTCAGGCGCTATCCCTTCTGAGCTATGCGTGGCTTTCTCGCGCGAGTCCCATTCTGAATTGGAGTACGTGCAACACATTGGATTGATTGATCTGTCGCGGAACAGATTGACTGGTCACATCCCGAGAGCAATCAACAATTGTTCTATACTGGTAGAGCTACACCTGCAAGACAACTTGTTAAGTGGCACTATACCTGTGGAACTTGCTGAGCTGAGAAACATAACAACCATTGATCTATCTTCCAATGCATTGGTTGGACCTGTCCTTCCATGGCCTGTACCATTGGCAAGCCTCCAAGGCCTTCTTCTGTCTAACAACAGACTCAGTGGCTCCATTCCTTCTGGCATTGGCAACATTCTTCCCCAGATCACAATGCTGGACTTATCGGGTAACGCGCTTACCGGCACTCTTCCATTGGATCTACTCTGCAAAGAGAGCCTAAACCACCTGGATGTCAGTGACAACAACATCTCTGGACAAATCCCATTTTCCTGTCATGAGGACAAAGAATCCCCAATCCCACTGATCTTCTTCAATGCAAGCAGCAACCATTTCTCAGGGAGCCTGGATGAATCGATCTCCAACTTCACAAAGCTGACCTATCTTGATCTCCACAACAACAGCCTCACTGGAAGATTGCCATCAGCAATAGCAAGGGTCACTTCTTTGTACTATCTTGACCTATCAAGCAATGATTTCAGTGGCACCATCCCTTGTGGTATCTGCGGTATGTTTGGCCTGACCTTCGCAAACTTCTCCGGTAACCGCGACGGTGGCACTTTCACCTTGGCAGATTGTGCTGCTGAAGAAGGCGGGGTTTGCGCCGCTAACCGTGTCGATCGAAAGATGCCGGATCATCCGTTCCATGTACTGGAAGCAACCATTTGTTGCATTGCAACGGCCATTGTCATTGTGCTGGTGGTGATCCTGGTGGTTTATCTGAGACGACGGAGGAAGATGTTGAGAAGGAGGCAGTTTGTCCTTGTCCCTGCCGGTGACAACGCCATGGCTGACCATGAGACAACCTTGAGTAACAATCTTTTGGGGAGGAGGAGGATGAAGAAGAGGGAGCCACCGAGCATCAACCTCGCGACGTTCGAGCACGCGCCTGTGAGGGTCACCGTGGACGAGATCATGAGAGCCACCGGGAATTTCGACGGGATGCACGTCGTCGGCGACGGCGGCTTCGGCACCGTGTACAGGGCGGAGCTCCCCGGCGGCCGGAGGGTCGCCGTCAAGAGGCTCCACGGCGTCGGCCGCCGGTTCCAGGGCGGCGAACGCGAGTTCCGCGCCGAGATGGAGACCGTCGGCAAGGTGAGGCACCCCAACCTCGTCCCCCTCCTCGGCTACTGCGCCGCCGGCGACGAGCGGTTCCTCGTCTACGAGTACATGGAGCACGGCAGCCTGGAGGACCGGCTGCGCGGCGGCGGCGGCGCGGCGCTCGGGTGGCCGGAGCGGCTCACGATCTGCGGCGGCGCCGCCCGCGGGCTCGCGTTCCTGCACCACGGCTTCGTGCCGCACGTCATCCACCGCGACGTCAAGTCCAGCAACGTCCTCCTAGGCGAGGGCCTCCAGCCGCGGGTGTCCGACTTCGGCCTCGCGCGGATCATCAGCGCGTGCGAGACCCACGTCAGCACCGTCCTCGCCGGCACGCTCGGCTACATCCCGCCGGAGTACGCGCTGGCGATGCGGTGCACCGCCAAGGGCGACGTGTACAGCTTCGGCGTCGTCATGCTGGAGCTGCTCACGGGGCGGCCGCCGACGTGGTCGTCGGCGGAGGTGACGGCGGAGGGTGACGACGAGCGCGGCGGCGGCGGGAGCCTCGTCGGGTGGGTGCGGTGGATGGCGGCGCGCGGGCGTGGCGGCGAGGTGTTCGACGCTTGCCTGCCGGTGTCCGGCGCGGAGCGGGAGCAGATGGCGCGGGTGCTCGACGTCGCCCGCGACTGCACCGCCGACGAGCCGTGGAGGAGGCCGACCATGGCGGAGGTGGCCAGGAGGGTGGGGGCGATCGAGGCGATGGAGTACGGGCCTCTGGTGGTGGCAGTGTCCAGTGGCGAGCCGCCGGCGATGCCATGATCTTGCTGCTGCTATACTGTATACTGTAGTGCATCATGCTCCTTTTTGTGAATTAAGGTGTTTTGATCTCATCTTATATGCGGACACAGAGATGCAGCAGAAACTCAATTTTTTAACAAGTTCATACCTCACAGGCATTTCATCAAACACCTGTTATGCGTGCAACCAACCCGCTCATTATAACCTCATCTTTTTTTTTAATGCTTATCCTTATAAGTTAATATTTAAAATTTTCAACCTTAAATTTGAATTTCATTTTAGGTTTTTTCATCGATGTTTACATCAGTTGCACTTGCAGCACAACCAAACAATTTGGCGGTGTTTCATGCAAAACAAGGTGATAATATTAATTGAGTTTTAGTTATTACAAACTTAAAAAATGGATTAATCTAATATTTTAGAACAACTCTTATATAGAAAGTTTTCGTACGAAACGCACCGTTTAGCAGTTTGAAAATTGTGCCACGAGTATTTAAATTTTCATCCACTTGTTATAGAATAAACTAACGGGACCAAATGTAATTCCATCCATCCCACCTGCGGTTTCTCCCATCTACAAGGGCTAACCTTCTGAGCGCGCTCCATCTCTCTCTCTCATAACAGACAACTTTCATTATCCAGATTGGAAACCAAGCCCAACAGCACAAACACAAAGTCTTAATACTCCGTACAAGAACAAGAACATAACACGACTTCATTGGGAATAAGCGAAACGACATATTTGTAAACGAAAAATAATTTACGAATAAAACTTTCATATATGTGATCTTAGCGATATAAAAGCAAAGACTGAAAAATAAACTTCGTTGAAATAACCCAAAATCAAATCTAAATTTAAGGTTGAAAAATTAAATTTAGGCTGATAAACATAAGCATAAGCGAAAATATGAGACCGCACGAACCTTCTACCTTCTCTTGACAGTCTTTTATCATGCTATAATGCACCACATGTACCCCTTATGCCAAAATTAGCTCTAAAATTATATTTAGTGATTTAAAGTTTGAATGCCACTGACAAGCCAACAAGTAAACTACAGAGCAAATTAATATGGTGCAATCTGTCATCTTCCAATGTTGACATCCTCTTGCTTGGCTAGTAACCACGTTTTAGGGCTTGGTCCGGAGAGCTTAAAATTATGGGAAGCAGCTAGTTGGTAGCTTCTGAGAATCTACAAAACTTGGGTTTTCCAACTTATGACTTATAGTTCATTTTCTAAATTTTACAATTACAACTTTTCAAAATCTAAACCAAAAGCTAGACTGCTTGGGGAGCTTCTGATTATAGAAGAAGCTGCAGCAGCTTGAAATTGCCTCCACCTTGACAGCTCGGTTCTGCTAAAAGACCGCTCCTGCAATCGAACCAATAAAAAACCGGTGAACATGCCAGTTTTTCCTTGAACCAGTGGCGGGTATTTAAGTATCGAACCGGTTTTTATTTTTCCTATGGCATTATGACAGGATGAATTTATTATGTTACCACATCACATTTATTTTTTTTAATGTTATGACCATGTAATAATAAATATAATGGTTTATTTATGCATATTTTCACCAATTTGTGATGGTTATATATTAAAAATAATACAAATTAAATGTAATATTAATAAATAAAAAACCAGCGGTCGAACCGTTGACCCGGTGGTTCGTCCGGTGAACCAATGGCTAGAGCGGATCGACCCTCGGACCGGTTTTTTTACTATGCCTCAAACATGTTCTTAGAAACCAAAGAAACACTACTTGTATACAATGACAATCCCTCGATTCCGATGTATAGCTGGACAATAACGACTCTTTTTATTCACCATGGTTTGGAACGAAAACTTTGGTTCGAACCAAAGCATCTCGGAATATAATTCCGTTTTTTTATGTTCCGAAATCCGAATGGGACCGAATCACCGCGAGTTCTGACGCAACTGATAAGTGATAACCAACCAACCAACCAACCAAATGTTTGAACCAAAATCGGGAAGCCCGGCAAAATCCTCCCAAATTCGGCAAATTCCCAGACCTCGTGCCCTACCTCAAAATAGCGAGCGGGAATCAAAACCACACCTGAATTCTCAAACCACAACACACACACACAAACAGTTGGTCCATAGCCCTATACTCACTGACATGTGGACCCCACTTAAATAAACCCCACGAGCCCACTGAAGTACTGAACCAGACGCGTAGGAGTACTCTCAAACACAACCCGCACGCCCGTCGTCCCGCTCACTGACATACGGGCCCCACGAAGCTCTAGAAAAAAAATCCCTAGCCACCGACCTCCACTCCACCTTCCCCACAGCCACTGACAAGCTGGCCCCACCCAAAAGCGAAATTAATCTCCCCCGAGCCGCAAGGATTCTCCTCGGGAAGGCAGGGGCTTTCAAATCCGCGCCTCCCCTCTCCTCCTCCGCCGGCTGCTTCCCCCCCACGAAATTTCGCCCAAAATTTTCCCTCTCGCGCTCGCGCTCGCTTCGCCGATCGGGGCTCGAGTCGAGGCCGCCGGGGCGAGCGCGTTGGGGATTCGGAGATCTGGGGGGAGGGGATTAGGGTTTGGGAGCGCCAGGTCGGTCCCCGATGGCGGAGGGCAGCAGCGGCGGCGGCGGGAGGCAGCAGCAGCAGGGGGTTGCGGAGCGGCGGCTGCTCCGGTCGCGGTACCTCGCCGTGAAGAATCTCATCAGCGGTAGGGGGCTCGCCGTGGGGGTGGGGTTTGGTTTGGTTTTGGGTGTGCGGGGGTGTGTGATTTGAGCTGTTTGTGCTGTGTGTTTTGTCCGCCGCAGATGAGAAGGATGACATGGCGAGGGCGGGCTCCGACACGTTCGCCGCCATCATCACGCAGGTGGACTGCCTGCACGAGCTCGGTATACGAAATCCTCCCCCCCTTTCGCCTTTGCTAAACCGTGTGTTTTTCTGCAGTTTGATGTGGTTATCCTTGCCTTGGACTCGCTGTTTCCGATTTGTATTGCATTTGAGTCACAGATTAGAAAGACATCGTGATATTTGAACCTTATGCTTAGGCTGTTAGTACTAGCTGCTGAAGTGGCTGCTGGAGCACTTGTTGCAGGTTCAGAAAAAAGAAGAAGGCATATTAGCAAGTTGTTCATCTGCATTGTATGTGTAGTGAATCTCAGCAGGATCTCAAAACATTGGTTGGTCTTCAGATAACTGATATAGCATTATTGCGAACTACTTCTGGTTTATTCTACTGTTGACATTTTACTTCAAATTGCTACTCGAACATCAGAGCATCAGCATGATTGCATTTAGTTTCGTTGGTTGTTCTCCCATGCTAATGTTGATGTAATTACTCAGTTCCTATCTTCTACAAGACCAATGCTTTGTAATTTGCCTGCATGATTGCATTTCTTGGCAAAACTTGGTGTTTATTGCCATGTTAATATTAGAAGTTCAGAACTCACTGTCGCATTCCAAAATTAGTACTAGTACTTCGAATAGCTGCTTATGATATATTTTACTGGTTTGGATCATTTAAGCATAAGTGCTATATGAAGTACACAAAATGATGGCATCCTTCTACAATGCAGTGCAGAGGCCTAGGGAGCAAATAGCTGATGCAGAAACTCTGTTGGACATTGCAAACACTTTGGTAACATCCGTTAGGTCTCAGTCAAGTGAAGGAATCACTCCCTCTGATTTCGTAACAGCCATGCTGAAGAAATTTGGGCAATCAGGGGGCCTTGATTCTGAGGCTGCCTCATTGCGCTGGGGGGATGTTGGGCTTTCTGTGTCCCATGTCTTCAGGGCTGCACCTGGATGCTGCACTATGTAATGAAGCTCTCTTCCGTCTTTATATATGCGCATCATTTCTTGCTTTCTATAATTCTATCCGCCTGGCAAATGACTTAAACAACTCAAATCTGAATCTTTACAGGCTTGGACCCATGAATACAGAAGTAAAACAACGGAAGGCTGTGGTTGCCAATAGAAAACGGACTGCGAGGCCAACGGAAAATGCTCGTCCTGAACAGGTAGCCAACTAGGCAACTAGCCATATGCTATTCTATATTACAAAGGGTATGATAGATACCAACAAAACCATAATAGCCATCTGTGCATTTCTTTCATCATGGTATTCATTTTTTCCCTCCATTAGTCTCTGAGGTAGTTAACAGGTCTGGTGCTATTGTTCATGCCATAACAGGTCTGGTGCTATTGTTCATGTCATTAGCTGGAACTTAACATATCTATCTTACTGATTCCATTTTGTAATTGTATTGCTTACATGTTCAAAACCATAGAACGTTTCTTTAAAGGAACATCTGGAACAGAAACATTTATATTCCTTGTCCACTATCAAGTTTCTTGTCCGTGCATCTGGCAGACTGATCTTTTTTACGGCAATTTATTTTGTTTATACCTGGATGCAATCACTGGGCTTGTATACTGTTCCATGGCTTACTCTGAATAGCACATTGATATGATGCTACCTTGTATGCAGCTTGCTGAATCTTTGGAGGGAGTAAAGACAGACACTGATAGGAATGTGTCTGTCATATTTGATATCCTGAGGAGGAATAAAAGGGCAAGGCTGGAGAACATTGTTTTGAACAGGCGTTCTTTTGCCCAAACTGTTGAGAACGTTTTTGCACTGTCCTTCCTAGTTAAAGATGGCAGGGTGGCAATAAACATAGATGACAACGGGCATCATATAGTCTGTAAGACCCTTTTCCGCTGCCCTCATTTGTTTCCTTAAATGATATGACAAGATGCCGCTTCTTTAGTGACATGTCTAAGATAATTCTATTGGTCCTATGCAGATCCTAGAAATGCTCCTGCTGCTAGTGCGATAGCCTCAGGAGAAGTCTCCTACAGCCATTTTGTTTTCAGATTTGATTTCAAAGACTGGAAGGTATGTTAGTAGTTCTTTTTGTTGATAAACCTTCAGATTTTTGACTTTGATTAATCAACTTCAACTGTAGAACTGTACAAAATTCAACTTCAAGATCTGATATATAGAATTATTCTTAAGTTTTACCACCCCATTTTGGGATACTGGTTTTCTCAGGAGTGAGTGCCCTTTGTCTTCATTTATCTGATACCAATCCATTTTGTTGCTGTACATTAGGCCTAAGCTAGAGCTTAAGCTAGGAAGAAAAATCCTTGTGTTGATTTTTGTTTTGGCCAGCTCCTCTATAAAATGACAATTTTTTTCGCACGCCTTTTCTCTTTTTATTTACAGTTCTGGGCATCAACTAATCTACAATTGGCCCTCTTTTTTGTCATCCATTTCCAGCTTATGCAAGAAGTCGTTCCGGACGGGGAAGAACTGATGCCACACAGGAACCCCGAGAACATCCCCTGCGCCGAAGATCATGACCAGGCTGATCCACCGGAGCTATGCGCGCAAAGAACACCTATCAGGAAGCTCACCCGGAACCGGGGCCTGGTGATGCAGCAGGACCAGATGGTGGTCGCGGAGACGCCCGAGGAGAAGCAGCCAACCTCCAAGCGGAGGCGCCTCTTCAGAGACCAACAATCTTGAAGCGAAACCCCCCCTGCCCTGCTCGTCGGCTGCTGTAGTTTTTAGCACTTTAGCGTGTGCGCCTACCTGCTCTCGTGTTGTATGTAGAGGGAGAGATCTATTATAAGTTATAATAGCCCGCTGTGGTTTTGCCTAGTGTCTGTACAACAGTCGGGCGACATAGCTCATCTCGTGCTAGCTCGTGTAACAGCTTAGATGTAACTAATGTTCTTCTTTTAACTCTATTAGAATTTAGATCAGGCAGCTTCGATTTTTCCAAAGATCGGTGGAATTGTACTCTTGTAGTGTGACGAAAGATCGCTAGAATTTGCTCCTTAGAGGAATGTAGCACCAGTGGCTGCTGCAATCCTTCCGAGGTTTTACAAGGAGCACCAGTGGATACAGCAATCTTTCTGGAGTGCTTTGATTGCCAGGTACGCAAGTTAGCCTTGACCCATAATTCTGAGCTACGACTAAAAAGATTATCTAACCAACATGGTAATAGTTTCACATTGAGGTAGAAAAATGAAAGTGAAGACACATTGGGGTAGAAAAATGAAAGTGAAAACACATCGAGGTACGAGGTAGCAGTTTAGCAACAGGAAGCGCAGACAGCAGATCATCCTTGTTTGGGTAGTTCCAACAATCAACGAGACTGCTCACTTTGCCAGAGAAACAGTCACAGTAGCATTAATTTTATGAAAAGCATAGTAATCATCAACCACAGTAGGCTTTAACATCGCAGGAGAAAAGGGATAACATAATCACATAACCAGGCGTACGAGAAATAGCTCAAAAATAAAATGCAATAAAGAATCCAGAGGTAAAACAAGACAGCACATAAGCCTAAACGGTCAGAAAATTCAGCATCAGCCCTCAAAGTTTCGAGTTACAATGACTAATCGCTACAAACCACAATGGATCTCAAGCAGCAGCTGATTTCCGAAGCTCATTTTCACCATGGGCAAAATGGCACCTGTCGCCAAAAGTGCACGACCCTTTGGTGAAGTTCTCGCACAGCTTGGTCTTGAAGTTGCTTCCGGGGCCTCCCCCGCGGTGGGATCCTCCCACAGGTTTCTTGCCTTGTGGAGGGGCACCGCCACCGATGCTGACAATCAGCTCCCTCACCATTGCACTAGCGTTCTTGATCTGATCAAATGTGCCCTCAAGCTCAATGTTTTTCAAGTTGGTGTCTGATTCATGATCACGGATGGCCAGCTTGGCCCCTGTGACTCTGGATATCTGCTTTGTGTTAACCCCACCCCTCCCGATTATGCCACCTGCAAGAGATGCATCAACACTGATCTTGGCTGTGGCCGAAGCGCCAAAGCTTGCTGGAGTGGACATGGCAGGGCTAGGCATTGGTGGAGGTGCAAAGTGACCAGTGGGCCTTGGTCCCATTGGGGGAGGCATTGAGCTATCCATCAACATAGGCTTGCCGAGCTCCCTCTCACCGTGCGCAAAGTGGCACTTATCCCCCCATTTGCATCCCTCTGCAGTGTTATACTTGTTGCACAGGCGAGTCTTAACAGTGGGTGTTGGTGGCCCATCAGGAACAGCATTTCCCATTGGCATTCTTCCTGGAGGCGGCGCAATAGCTGGACCACCAAGATTGGTCATCTTTGCAACAGCTTGGTAGCCACCAGGGAAGTGGTGGAGGAAGTGGCAACCCTCACCAAAGGGGCAACCAGAGGTACTGCACAATAAGAATATCATGAGTGCAAGCAAAAAGATGCTGCAAATAATGTCCTAATTGAAGAACTACACCAAAAGATTTCATTGTAAATGCAACTGATGTTTACTTGGAAGATTCTAATATGTGAACTTTAATAGGTCAACATCTCATAAACAATGATTGGAAATGATATTAACAAGTGAAGAACAAATGTTAAGATGCAGTATGGACTGGAGGAGATTTCTGGAACCACCACCACATTTAAAAACAACATGGCAGTAAACTACATTCTAAATGTTGAGCTTGACAATGGGTGCTAATAAGAGATGTAGACCATATGCACAAATTTTGGTAATGACTCATAACATCATAAGCTTGATAGAAAATAATTTCAGGAGCAACTATTTACGGAAGTATAGATTCAAACCATACAGTAGTAAAATTTATCCCTGCATGTAGCAAATGTTAGGATAAATATTATATGTTACAAAGGACATAAGTGGCAGGATTTCAAAATGTGAGTTCAGTTGCAGTTCCCAAGTCATGTATTCAATCTTCTTTTCTCAATTTGAGCAGATGAAGCTGCATCATGATATTACTGACAGGTTGTTCATCTGACAAGGAGTTACATATCCTTAATTCCTTATACTGTTGCATCTTTCACAGGTTCAAAGTGATTTCGCGCAACTGTGCGCATTCCAATTTTACTCCAGTGAGTGTTTCTTAAGCTTGGATTAGGTACAACCTGTATCACAATCTTTACTTGATTCATGTGTTAGCAACAATACAATTCTTTTAGGAAAAAAAACAGAAGCAAAATTTTAATGAAATAACCATGCATAATAAATGTTACCAGGTGGAGTTCATTTTAAGTTGGATTATAACCTGAAAAATTTGGTGCATGGCTTCGATTTGCTTCCTACACCGGTTTGAAATGACTCCGATTCTGTTGCATCAAATTAATTATGCGTTCCAAGTTAATAGTTGTTGATTTGCTAATCTTTGGTACACAAGAGAACATTAATACTCCTTTTAACTACTTTTACGTTCCTACTGCAAAAACAGTGCAAAAATACCGCATTAATTGAAGCAGCTACTACACTCTTTATCAACTACCCACAGCTTCCCTCCAAGTTTTTAAAACCCATAATTAATTCAAAGTACGCCTTGAAATGAAGAACACGGAGCAACGAGACCACCAGATCTGGTTTAAGCAGACCAACCAATCTGAAAAAGAAAAACACATGCCAACTCGGCGAATCTTGGAAGAAAAACTACAAAAACATTAGCTCGCCTTTACGAAACGAGAGTCACATCCGCTCTTAGTCTCTCTCTCTCTCTCTCTCTTTCCAAACCTACAAACCCTAGCAGAATAAGCAGCAAAAGGGCACGAATCGGGGAGGCTCCTCGATCTAACTACGCAGCGAGGAAACCAAATCTCGCCGCGGCGGGAGAGAGGGGGATGCGATTCGGGAAGACGAGAGCAAAGGTCGGGCACGGGAAAGGGGAGGAGAGGGTTGCGACTCACCTCGCGCGCGCTTCCCGCCGGCGCCGTTCGCACCGTCGGGCTTGCCCCTCTTGCGGCCGCCGACTTCCATCTCTCGGCTCCCCCACACCCGCGCCCGCGCTCGCGCTCGCGCACGCCGCCTCGGAGCTCGGCTAGGGTTTCCGGCTCGTCGCGGCGGCGGCGGCGGGTAGAAGGCGGAAGGGATTGGGTGGGCGAGAGGAGGTGAGAGATGTGGAGTTTGGAAGAGAGTGGTGTGATGTGTTGGGCCGCGCGATGTGGAGTGGAGTGGTGTGGTGGGCTTTGTGCCTTCGTGGCTGGATCAAAGCATCGCCAACTCACTGTTCTTGGAAAAAGAATATAAATGAACTGCACCCCAATCTTGCAAATTGAAATAAAAATCATTTTCTCGGATTTAAGGTCCCATTCGTTTCCAATGAAATTATTTGAGTGAATAATAAGAAGTTAGGGCACAAATAATAAAAACATATATTAATATGTGATTAGTTAAGTTTTAGTTATTTTAATATTGCAATATAAATTTATTTGATATTTTAAAATAATTTTTATATAAAAGATTTTTTTTATAAAACACACCTTTTTACAGTTTAAAAAAATTGCTAACAAAACCGGAACAGAATATTACCCCCTCCGTATCCTATGTATCCAGGTTCATTGCTAGAATTGAATTCTTTGTAGGACAGCAGTAATCAGATTTATTGTTAGAATTATTTTTTTTTAGGACAGAGTATTAATCATCAATAGAAGTGAACTGAGCCTGATAACTTCCCAGTGCAATCGAAAATCAATTTCTGGGTTTTTTTCTTGACAACGTTCCACTTATTGCCCTATACTGCATAATAATTTTGCAACAAAATGTCAAATAACTTAAAAAATACTCCACGTTAAACACCTTTTTATTTTGCAACAAAATAATATCCCACGTATGGTCAATTAACCTCGTAAATCGAAAATCTAGGGTTTAAGTCTAATGAAAGATAACAATCGGCCTGTCGAAAAGTCTGATGGGCCAAGCGTAACAAACGGCCCTTTAAAAATTTAATTGATGCTTTGGTTGGGGTGCACCAGGCCCGGGCAGCAGTGCAACGACTGGGCGACGCGCGAGGGCCCCAGTGGCTAGCCACTGTGGTGGGCCCTCCCTCACAAAAAATAAATTTAACATCGAAGTGGGCACATGGCCCACATATCAGATATTAAACTGATAAGAACAGATACTACACTTGATCTTAGCCAAAAGGCCGAGAAAGGTATGAGTTGCTCTCCTGCTCTGGGCCTCCTCTTATACACGCTCCTCCGCCCCGCCTCGCTCAGAATCCGCGAGGTGGTACTAACATTGAGAACGAAACCGTATCAGCTCCTCCCTCTCTCCTGCTGCGTTGTTTGGTTGGGCCCGCGTCTCTTGGTGGGCCGCGCAGAAATGGGCTTTTCATAGCCCAAATCACTCTGGATTTTACTTATCTTTATTTTATTTTATAAGTAGTTTCATGTTTGCATTTTTAAGCGTGGCGTGATCCGTGTTCTGTTCTTCTTGCGGAGCAAGCCTGCATTCCAATTTTTGCCTGGGCCATCCAAAATTCAGCAATTTATTTATCTGTTTCTACTTTTGCACCTGCTGAAAATTAAAACTATTTTTAACAAGCTAATTATTGACCAATGACGTGGCTGAACAGTCACAGGCCTTCTTCCTCCCCGAAGAGACACCAACCACGCGATGATAATAATATATTTTATATATTTTATTTTAGTCATGGTCGTATCTAATTTGTCTTCCTGTTTGCAATTTGCAATGAGGTGTCAACTACCTCATTCTAGAAGCAATTTGAACCCAAACCTTTTGGAATCAATTTGACCAAATTTTACTATCTTTATTGACCAAAGTGTAAAACGGAGAATTTTTGAGGGGGCTAAGTGCGAAAAGTGCAGGAAAAAAATGGGCGATTTTTTTTTTATTTATAGGCGAGGAACAATCGCTCGCTCGGTCGCCTTCCCCTTCTTCCTCCTCTCCGGGAGCGCTTTGAACAATCGCTCTCTCTCTCTCTCCCTCCCCGATTCGATTCAATTCGCGACGCCTCCGTGAAATTCTCCAAAGCGTAAGTGCATTTCATCTCTCCCGGTTGCGATCCTGTTCGCCGTAGGCTGTAGGATTCCTGGGCGGGTGGTTGTGTAGATGGATTTTTTTATGTGGAATTTCGGTGGGTTTTTTTTCTATTGGATTTTGGTTTTCTACGCGGGGGATTACGAATTGTGGATCCGTTGTAGTTTCGAGAGATTTAATTTGCTTTTTTTAATTATTATTTTTTTCGGTTTGGGAGGAATTGTTTGGAATCGATGTGGCGATCTGTTCCTCCGCGCGTGCGCGTGGTGGTGTTTAATTATTTTTTTGCGGGATTTTGGTTGATTTTGGGATGTATTATGTTCTGACGAAATCGTTTACTTCGTTGTTTGTTTGCGCAGCAGCTTGCCCTGTAGCCGCGTGCTCCGGCCATGGCGTTCTTCAGGGGCCTGACCGCGGTGTCGAGGCTTCGATCCCGCGTGGTGAGCCATCCAACATCTTGCATGCCTATTTTCTGGCGATGCGTTTGCATTTATGTGCGCTGAAAAATTGTTCGTTGCTTTGTGTTGTCAGGCACAGGAGGCCACCACGCTTGGTGGTGTGCGATGGCTGCAGATGCAGAGCGCATCTGATCTTGTAAGTCAATTAGTTTTTGTTCGTTCGTGCTAAATGTGTGGTTGAAACTACCAGTTACTATGTGCCATCTGTGGCTAGGCTCGAAAGTGGGGAATGTGCTCTGAAAAAAGATGTTTGATTGTGTTTCTAAATATTATATGCAGGATCTCAAGTCCCAGCTGCAGGAATTGATTCCTGAACAACAGGTTTGTTACTTTCTAGCACGTCTAATAATTCACACAAAGTTGGAAAGTATATGGCATCCAGTTCTTTATCTACCCTTTTTGCTTTACTGCTTTAGCCTGTAGTGATATCATCTTCTTGCTTCATGCGATATTGTGTGAGGGCATGCTTGCAACTTCCAAATGTTGTGGATTATCTCTTTTTTGTAAAAGCTGTGCTGGCGCATGGAAGCAAATGCTGCATGAACATTGCATTACACCATTGTTTCAGCACCTTCAGAAACCGCTCATCACAAAATGTGTATATTTTGAGCAGCCACTAGCTTTGTGTTTTCTGCACTATTGAAAATGCATTACAAGATTGGCATATCAGGTTATTGTTTTCTTCACAAGTTTAGTTTTGCACCAAGCAGTAATCACAATATTCAGAATCTGTATCAGAGAAGACCATAATTGCAGCTAGTTGCATGCTCCTATCATTATGAGGAAGTCATCATGGTTGATATAAAATAACTTCACCATTTCACTGTTTACCTAAAATCCATATATGAGTTGCATGCCCTGTGCTTTGTCTCAACCATCCAAGAGTGCCAAATTCCTGTCAAATACCAGGAAAGAAAAGCTCAACTCACTTTACCATTCTGTTACAGGACCGCTTAAAGAAACTTAAATCGGAGCATGGAAAGGTCCAACTTGGAAATATAACAGTCGATATGGTATGCTTTTGGTATTGATTATTTATGGATTGTTTCTCAAGGGTGTCCTTTATTGATTGGTCTAAAATCTTAAATGGTGTTTATCCAAGGTCCTTGGTGGGATGAGAGGGATGACTGGAATGCTTTGGGAAACATCATTGCTTGACCCGGATGAGGTATGCTTGTAAACTATAATGCTACGATACCATAATGGCATAATATAGAAGCAAATTTGGATATTTTGTCTATGTATATCTTGAAATTGGAATGTGCAAAAGTTGGAAAATAAAATAGATGAATGATGAATCACCATATTTTCATGATCTCCAAGCAAGTGTACTAACAGTTGAGCATGATCCGTTCAGTGCACAGTAGGAATGACACAATGATTGCTCATATTTGTCAATCTGAATCAAGTTCTGTAATCAACTTTAGCACATTGATTTAAAAGAGGTACAGGGACTAAATAGTCTAGATTTCTATAGTCATTATGTAGGAATGTGCTTCATTACAAGAGTTTGATGCTTTTATGATTTATTTTTTAGGATGGCGGCTTTTCTGCAGATTTTAAGTTAGATTTTTAGCTTAGTTTGACTTTGTGAAATTTAAACGTGCATCACTCTATATCTTGCTGTTGGATGTAAGTCTGTACCTCTTTCCTATCCAGGGTATTCGTTTTAGGGGTCTCTCGATTCCAGAGTGCCAGAAAGTGCTGCCGACAGCAGTTAAAGATGGGGAGCCTTTGCCTGAGGGTCTACTTTGGCTTCTTTTGACCGGAAAGGTTTGGCTTCTTTTGTTTAACTGTTTTTCTTGTAAACTTGGTTTTCCTGTTCTTATTTTTGTCGGCATTTAGCTGCTAGTGTGGACTGATAGGTATTTGTTTGTTTCAGGTGCCAACCAAAGAGCAAGTTGATGCTCTATCAAAGGAATTGGCTAGTCGTTCGAGTGTTCCAGGTCTGCAATTGTCTCTTCTGGTTTATTGCATTATTGTTTGCTCAATTAGTAAAAAAACCTAGATGAGTTTTATGTCATTATCTTATTTCCCTTTTCTTAGAAGATAAAAAATATAGTCACGGATACATACAGAGATTATGGAGTTTTTGTTCCTACGAAGCTTTATTCTGCAAGTACCATAAACACACCAAGTTTCTTGTATAATGTTCCCCCAGATGGTTCTTTAGTTAGTCAATTTGAAAATAAATTGAAGCTACTGCATTATGAATTTCTGATAGTAATCTGAGCTTTTAAGGTTAAACTCTTCAATTGCCTGAAAATATGAAATGTTGTTAACTTAAGCCTATATTCTTAAGTGTATTTGATTTATTATTATTTTTTTTTGCTGGGCAAGTGTAGTTGAAATTTGAAAGGCAACTGTAGAAAGTTTTTTTTTTGGGACTGTTCCATGATGTTCTCTATTGACTTCAGTTTTCTTAATCCTGCCTTTGATAATGATATAGCTCATTTAAGTATTCATCTGTGATAAGTTGATTTGAGTTTTTGTATACTCAATCATTGGAAAAATATGTCTCAGGGCTGCATTACAAATTTGTGCTTCTGTAAACATACGGCATGTTACCCACTTACCTACTTGGCACTTATTCGATTGACTTATGATACGGATGCAGGTCATGTGTATGAGGCAATCGATGCTCTTCCTGTAACTGCTCATCCGATGACCCAGTTTACCACAGGAGTGATGGCACTTCAGGTAAACCTTGTAGCATATATCACTCATCTGAAATAAATACATATTCTGTTGCCACTTATTTGAAGGTATATTTATTTTGGAGATGGTGCATGTAAAAAAGACAATCATTTAAAAAAAATCCATTGATAAAACCCTCTTATTTTGCTGTTTGTAATTCTTTCTAGGTCTCCACACTTAATTAATTTGCCTTTTCTATTTTAATTCTTATTTGCAGGTGGAGAGTGAGTTTCAAAAAGCCTATGACAAAGGAATGTCAAAATCAAAGTATGCTTGGGATTTATACTGCCTCCAAAATTGCATTAGTTGTTGAATGGATTTTCCATGTACTGACCTGGTGCTATTTTAATAGGTTCTGGGAGCCTACCTATGAAGATTGCTTAAATTTGATAGCTCGCCTTCCAGCAGTGGCTTCATATGTTTACCGGAGGTAGCTTTTTATCAATTCATTCACCATCTTTACTTACCAGGCAATCTGTAAAAATTTTCAACTGCAATAGCAATAATGCCGTTTTCTGGTTCTCTGAAGGATATTCAAGGGAGGGAAAACTATAGCAGCTGATAATGCACTGGATTATGCAGCAAATTTTTCACACATGCTTGGGTTTGATGATCCCAAAATGCTTGAGTTGATGCGACTATATATAACAATCCACACGTAATTCATTCCATCCTTGTTTTAGTTTCTATTTATTTCTAAAAGACTTGGTTTGATTTCTTTTTCCTTTCACCTGTGTTCTTCCAGTGATCATGAAGGTGGAAACGTCAGTGCTCATACTGGACATCTGGTAATTTTTGTATTTCTGGTTTCAATGCAGTTTTTTTCTTGTTAGCATTGCCACTATTGTTGTAAACCTGCCAATGGATCATTTCTGGCTGCTACATCATCCTTGTGCCTTTTTACATATGTTACACTTTTGGCATGCACTATTGCACTGGATGCCACTTTAAGCCTTTGATTTGCTTTGCTGTTATTACTATGTATCGGAGATATATTAATAAGCACTGATAAACCAAACTAGCCATTTTAAGGAATATGAACTAGGAACAAAACTAAAACTTAAACTGCTTTTAGCTGAGTTCTTCATTACTTTAACTGTTATCTTGAAGGATCATCTGCTTAGTACTCATGGAGTCATTAGTCTTACATTTTATTGTCTAATAGCATCAAAGCTATGACTGAAAATATGTATCTATTTCTGCTAGATAGCTATTGTATGTCTAGGAAAATCCTGGTGTATCAGTATGGCCTTTTAATGCATTAGGAAAGGTAATATAATTGGTTGCGCTGTGATCCTTGATCCAGTTAGCTGAATCTCTATCTTCAAGGTAGAAGTGGTAATGATAGTACAAGGTAGCCTCTTAATTTGCCGCAGAAAACCTTGCAATCCGTTATCTTTAGGATTTATCACTTATGATCTATGACTTATTTTCTTTTGCTGGCAATTGCCTCTCTCTCTCTCTCTCTCATGACTCATCTATGGGCACTGACCTCTTCATTCCGTGCTCATGATATTCAATTACAGGTTGGAAGTGCTCTGTCAGACCCTTATCTTTCTTTTGCAGCTGCACTGAATGGTTTAGCTGGACCGTTGCACGGCCTGGCTAATCAGGTATGCTCAGTTTGTTGTACTGGATCTTCTCTGCCACATCCTGCTAAACAAGGATTCACTGCATTGCATACTCAAAATATGTCGCAGATTATCTTTGGAAGAAGGAACATAATGTTCCTTCCATTTTTAAATTGATATTTTAGTGTGTGTGTGTGAACTAACCATAGTTCACATCCAATGCAGGAAGTGTTGTTGTGGATCAAATCTGTAATAGGTGAGACTGGTAGTGACGTTACAACTGATCAACTCAAAGAGTATGTGTGGAAGACACTAAAAAGTGGAAAGGTAGCTTATCTCCGTGTTATATTTCTATTTGATGAGGAAGTGCATATCATCATGTTTTAACTGAAATGAAAACTCAACTTTCTGAGAGTTCATTGCTAAGCAGTGGTTCTAAGTTTGTTATGTTATATTGGATCTGTTTTCTTTAGCTACTTATATTATACAAACAAATGATTTCTAATGATCTGGAATAAACATTCTCTTTTTGTTGAACTCTAACTGAAAAATTCACAGATAGTATGCCATGACACATTCATTCGTAGGTTGTTCCTGGCTTTGGTCATGGAGTTCTACGTAAGACCGATCCACGGTATACATGTCAGAGGGAGTTTGCTTTGAAGTACTTGCCTGAGGATCCACTTTTCCAACTGGTTAGTCTAAATTCTAGCTGCATGGCTCTCTTCAGTCCCACTGTCTCAATAGGATTTATATCGACCTATCCTCTTTCAGGTCTCCAAGTTGTATGAAGTTGTGCCTCCTATCCTCACTGAGCTTGGCAAGGTAATGCTACTAGATTGATCAATAATTATTGCTCCTTTAATTACGGCTCCTTCAGTTTACTTCCATCTCATTGGCTAAGAAATAAGAACATCCTTCACATTTTCAGGTCAAAAACCCATGGCCTAATGTTGATGCTCACAGCGGAGTTCTACTGAACCACTTTGGATTATCTGAAGCTCGGTATGTTTATCTGTATTGGTTAAACAATCTAATGCCATGTCTAATTTAATCTTGAACTTATGATAGAGTAGCAAATCTAACTTTAGAACGAGTACTTAAGAAAACTTCTCTAACTGCGCAGGTATTACACTGTTCTTTTCGGAGTTTCAAGGAGCATTGGAATAGGATCTCAGGTATCTCTCACTTTCCACTTTCTACCTCATTTCTTTGGATCTTCTCTGCATTTTGTACTACAATGCAGAGGATCCTTCTTCATTCTATCAACCAATTCTTTCACATTATCTGTGTCGCAGCTCATTTGGGACCGTGCTCTTGGCCTGCCGCTCGAAAGACCGAAGAGTGTCACCATGGAGTGGCTGGAGAACCACTGCAAGAAGGTTGCTGCTTGAAGCTACACACGCCTACACGGCTGCGTTTTTTTTTTTTTTTTTTTACTCTTTGAGCATCTTTGATGCTAATAACTGAGCATAAACTCGAAAGAGTTAGCCGCATTTTACCCTTTTTTCCCCCGGGCCAATAAACAAGAGGAAGATGCTCTCAGCTGGTAGGATTTTGTAACCGTCGTCAGTTGGTATGCTCAAAGTTTATCTGCCATTGGGCAACAATGTGATTAGTTTTATTTTGCTTAGAGCTTTTTTTTTGTTCGTTGCTGAACAACTTTTTCGAGCATTTTAAGTTTGCTCGAGTTAATATACCAATTGCTGGTTACGGTACATATAACCTACTCTTCAAGGATTTTTTTTTTGTTGAATTTACAAGTGCAATTCATTTTCTTTCACCAGTCTTCTGCTGGTGCTGGTTCATCTCCACCTACCAGCATTTGGAAATCTTAATGGTGCCTACGCTTTGTGTCAGACAAGTTTATTAAGACCTTGTTTAGATGGGACTAAAACTTTTAAGTCCCCATCACATCGAATGTTTAAACACTAATTATAAATATTAAATGTAGACTATTAATAAAACCCATCCATAATCTTAGACTAATTCGCGAGACGAATCTATTGAGCCTAATTAATCCATGATTAGCCTATGTGATGCTACAGTAAACATTCTCTAATTATGGATTAATTAGGCTTTAAAAATTTGTCTCGCAAATTAGTTTTCATTTATATAATTAGTTTTGTAAGTAGTCTATATTTAATACTCTAAATTAGTGTCTAAATACATAGACTAAAGTTAAGTCCCTGGATCCAAACACCACCTAAGGGTATTGCAACGATTTGTATGTATTGCTGCTACAGTAAAGCATGAGGCTTGATTTGTACTATATCCAATGCTGACCCTTCAATGCTTCTAGTACAAAGCTAGAAATAATAACACATACTGTATAATAGTACGTCATTCGAACTCAACAAGAACACACCATTTCATTAGCTGGACTGCAAAGAGTTTAATCAAACACCATTCATACAATCATACTACAGCTAATCACAGTTTTTGAATATTCTACTACCTAAAGCTGTCAAAAAGTCGGGCTACATCACAGGATTGCATTGTATCATACTAATGCCATGTCAATTGACGAAGCTCGGCTAGAATCAACTTATGCTGATAACGGGCTTCGGTTTCTCATCGTCCTTGCTCTCTGTGGTGACAGCCGGGGGCCTGCGTTGGTGCTGCACAACAGCTAGCTGATCAGAAAAGAGCAATTCCTTCAAGCAGTGGAGTTGCTTCCTCTCTTTCTCCATCAGCAGCTCCTTCTGCTCGAAACGACGTATTTTATCCTGGATTTCCTTCATCTGAAAATAATTTTAAACAGGAGATATCAAGAAGTCAATATAAGCCTCGAAATTCAATGTGGTTATCTCAGGAATTTTCGTGGCGCCCTACCTGAACACCCACTATGTCAGATAAAGACTGCTCTATAGCCTTCCGTTCCTTTTCAAGTTGTACTTGTGCGTTGGCAGACGCCTCTTTGAGCAAATCATTGGCTGAAAGACCATTTGTGCAAGAAGATTCTGTACAAGACACTAATTTAGTGAAAAGATCTTTTCAAAATATTGCAGGTATTTGCACATCATTTTCTCTCGCGCATTATTTGCACCCTGAAGCTGTTACAACACTCACTAATCATTGATATCTGAACAGTTATGTGCACACCAGCATATGTTTTGCCAATAATACAAGTATACAACAATCAATGTGATGGAATCACAGAAGCAGTCTAAGTAAGTGCCAAGCACATGTATTAGAGAGCAGAGCTGGTACCTTCTTCCTTGCTGATGTTGATAGAAGAATCAGTCTCGCTGGCACTTATATCAACCTGGGACTGTGCAGAAATAGCTGCTTGCCCTGCAGCTACAGCAACATCTGAACCAACAATGGCTGACAAGAACGCAACCTGGGAAAACAATGCTATTAGTCAGTTTGCCGCATCAATTGTTACCCATATTCAAAAACCTGCTACATAAGAAAAGCACATAGCAACTATTGACTTGAATATAGGATTAACTGTGATGTTCCAGCCGAAGTGACATTCTTAGATAATAGATGTCACGTCTCTCAGTTAGAATTTACAAATATAGTTTTCTTGGCAACTATGGTTGCAAGCTTGCACGTTGCAGTCTTTGTTCCAAGTATAAGCTACAAGTGTATCGCATAATCAAGAAGTCAAGATATAACAACAATTAACTTCAAATGGATAATTACTGATACAGACCTGGGCCATGATTGGATTGCTAGCATCAGCCAGTGGCGTGAGGCGTAGTCGTTTTGAGATATGTGATCCAGATTCTTCATTGAGATCACAATCATTCCCAAACTGAATTTTGTCCTCCTTGGGTCCCATGAACTGTTCCCCAAAAGGTAATCGGGTGAATCTAGCAATGCAGTCCTTTTCTGATCGACTACCAACATGATGAGAAACCTTTTTCCAGTCTTCCCCATAATGCAGGACGGCCTCAAGAAGGTGAAGAGTTTCTTTATCTGTCCAATCTGATTTTGCGTCCTCAGTAATTTCAATTCGCTTGAAGTCTGCCGAAGTAAGACCTGGCCGGTAATTGGCACGGACATAGCATCTAGCACAGAGGCTTATATCTGCCTGGTCATAAGCAGAATTTAAGGAGTTTAGTAGTGTTTCCAATTAAAAGATACAAGGAATTAATGAGACTTTCAAAATACACCAGGATGATATATGACGACAGTATCTCAACTGACGTATAAAGTTTGCGTGACTAGCAATGAACTTCCCAGACTTAAAAGTGTCACTAAGTTATTATAATCGTTTGCAAATACTTTTCTTAATGGTAATTGGTAAAACACGACTGCAAAGAGTATACTTGTTCAAAATGAGTTACTGGCCACCTCCTTAACAAGCAATGGACAAATGAGCTGTCGTGCACGCTTTTGTGAGAGACTGGCGCTTGCATGCTAGATCACCGCAGCAAGCAGCAAAGTTGTGCTTGATTGTCCTTGGCCACAAGAAAGAAGGCAAAGAGATAAGTTGGTTGCTAGTATTATCTAACATGCTCTGTTAGGCAGTCAATCCATATAGTTGGAATTTATTGCCTCTGGTAAACTTTGCTAGGAAGGTGCCTAAGAAAATACCAAACAAAATAACAAAGGTTGCAAGAACACGGATACCCAGAACTGCCTTTCACAGGGAACAAGACTATTGTTGGTTTCAAGAACAACTGCTCAGAGCCGCAGATATCCCCTTTTCTCAATACCCAAACCACATCATGGAGTTTCAACAAAACATAGGTAAAGCCAAATGGACTGTTGTTCCGGTAAGAAGGGCAAGCTCTGAACTGAATAAGTGCAATCTGGAAATATTTGCACTCTTACTGTCTAATTGAAACCATGAGTTTTACAAACCTAAAGACCTCAATTTGTGTAGAAATTTGCAGCACACATGTTTGATTACCCTCTCAATTTATAATTTCATAAGAAACTAAACACAATAGTTACCAAAACAAAGTATATATCAGACTATTTGTCAACAACTTTGTCTGCTCATCTGTCCTGCCCTTCCTACGGGACATGCCAAAACTAGCTAAACCAAATCATTGCAGCCGAAAACATCTCCACACCCACCAAATATATTTGTTTACAAATGCGTAAACTCATAACTGCAAAAGAAGAGACCCTTTGTTCCATTCCATAAGAAACTAAACATCTGAATATTTACAACACTGCGCAGTAGGTGGGAGGCTTGGATGCTCCCACCACCCAAGTTCAAATACTCTTAAGCTTAACTTTGGTGTTTCTTTCTTTTCTACTAATTAGATACCAAGGTTTTTGCTGCTTCTTTCTTTTCTACTAATTAGATACCAAGTTCTGCCTTGGTATCCTCTTTTTTTTTTCCATTCGAAAAAATATTTACCACTTCCCGTATCAACAGCCAAGCGCTGTCATAGCTTATCAGAAATAATTCGTGAAAAACAGCTAAGATAATTCTACAGTGGTAAACGATGCATACACATTGACAAACTTGTAATACAACTGTACACAGCACTGCATAAATAACTCATCCGCAAATCAAAACAAGAGCAAATCACTCACCTTCTCACAAGAGAAATAAGCAAGCCCGCACACGGTGCGGCACCCGGTGCAAAGCTTACTGGGCATTGTTGCCCCAATCGGCAAAGAGGACTGCGATAACGCTGCCTCCTCTTTCTTATCTCTCCCCTGCTTCGCTCCCGACGGCGAAGCTCCATAGTTTATCAGCCCCCATTCCTCAAGGAAGTCGAACACGCGACGCACGGAGCCGACATCTCCGACGAGCCCACGCCTGGCCTCGGTGAGCGTCAGCCGCCGCCCCGGCCGCGCCCGGAACCTCCTCACGAGGGTGTCACGGTAGTACTTGTAAGCCTCCGGGCCCCTGGACCCGGACGCCGCCGCCGCCTCCCCTTCGAAGAACTCCGGCATGAGGCGGCGCTCGGTCTCGTGGATGGAGTCGTAGGAGAACCACGCTGGCGAAGAGGGAAGCTAGGGTTTCAGGTCTCAGTTCAGCCTCGTCACAACAAGGTGGGGGCGATGGAGGGGGTTACCTGAATAGCTCGGGATGGTGATGGTGCAGGGCGACTCCTCGGCCGCGGCGGCGGCGGCGGCGGCGGCAGGGGCGGGGGCGGCGGCGGAGGCGGCTGAGGAAGCCGAGGTGGATGGCGGCGGAGGGGCCTCCGTCTTGACGGTGCCTGCCGTCGAGGGGGGCTGGGAGAACGGCGCCCCCGAGGACGGCGGCTGCGGCGGAGCGAGAGGCATGGAGTTCGCCGTCGCCGTAGTCGCCGCCGCCGCCGCCTCGGCCGCCGGCGCTGGCATCGACGGCGTGGCCATGAGAGCTCGAGACAGCCGCGTCTCGTGTTCGTCTTGGGCTTCACCCGCAGTGGAGCCTATCAAGCCGCGGCCCACCAAGAGGATTGGGCCCAACCGACCAACGCGGCAGAGAGCGGGAGGGCGGTTTCGTGGTCTCGGTTTAGTACCACCTCGCCGATTCTGAGCGGGAGGAGGCGGGGAGCGGGTATAAGAAGACGACCGGGGGCTGAGATAAGATTAATGTATGTTCTGATCTTATTCTTGAATAAGTTCAGAACATACTGGAATAAGTTCACTTTGAGTCCCTCAACTTTATATCGAGTTTAATATCGGATATGTGGGCCATGTTCGCATGGCCTGCTTCTGTATCCAAATATTTTTTTATGGGGAAAGGCCCATTAGTGGTTCTGCCACTAGGGCCCTTGCGCGTTGCCGAGGTGTTGCACTGCTGCCCGGGCCGGCGCACCCCAACCAAAACTCAGTTCCAATGTTTGTAATTACTAGAAAATTCCAATGTTTGTAATTACTAGAAAAAATACGGTGAAGTTTATTTTAATCTTATTGTTATTAAGATGAAATTTAACATGGTTAACTGAGTATATGGTTTAGTTAAGATGAAATTTAACGTGGGATACTATATAGAGAGAATTACACTTTGGACCAATTTTTATTACCTTGCTTACATATTGGACCGGGTATAGGTAAATATTTTCACTTAGGGCTAGATTTTGTTACCAAATTTTGCATTTGAGGCTATTGGTCCACATGTCAGTAACCAACACATCATCTTCTTCCTGAGCAGTCTTCCAGGCTTTATTCCGTGCATGTCTCCAGTGAGCTTATTTCGTCCTCACACAGACAAGCTCCTCTTCCCCAATCTCTAGCCACCTCGAACTGCACTCCGCTACTTGACAAGCCTGAGCACATAGGCTTTGAACTACCAAAAATTTGAACTCATGGTTTGATGTCAGGAGCATGGAGAAAGAGACGGGGCTGGAGTTTGAGGCGATGGAGAATATAAGGGATTGACGGAGCTCGAGTTAAAGGTGGTGGAGTTGGACTGTTGGAGCTCGAGCTCAAGCAGCAGAGGAGGTATAGCTCGAGCTTTGAGGCAGAAAAAGAGTTGAAGCTCGAGTTGGGAATAATGGAGGAGGCAAAGCTTGATATTGGGGAGCATGGAGATCGAAACCTGCGAGGAGACCTTATTCTTTCTTTTTTTCCAAGCATCAGCAAGAAGAGCTTTGTATGTATGGGCATGGCAAAGCTTGAGCTCGACCTGCCTTGCTCTGACTCAGTGGTTCACAGTGGCTCTTGGAGGAGAGACGCAGGAGAGAGAAGCTAGAGGTTGAAAGTAAAATACCCCCTCCTTCCCTAAATATTTGACGCCGTTGATTTTTTTAAATATGTTTAACCGTTCGTCTTATCCAAAAACTTTTGTGGAATGTGTAAAACTATATATATACATAAAAGTATATTTAACAATAAATCAAATGATAGGAAAATAATTAATAATTACTTAAATTTTTTGAATAAGACGAACGGTCAAACATATTTAAAAAAGTCAATGGCGTCAAACATTTTGGGATAGAGGGAATATTTTGCAAAGATATCTAGCCCAAAGTAAAAAAATGGATGTTTAACCCTTGTCCAACTTGTAACTTTGGTAAATGCAATTCACTCAATATATATATATTTAAAAAAACATGAGCTGCAGTTAGGTGTCCGATCGTCTTAAGTTAACATGCGAGTTTTTTTAAACATATTTCTTATATGATTCCTTTGGTATTATCAAAAGTGAACGATCTTAAAACTGACTCAAATATGGATATCTATTTCCAAAAGCAAACGAACGTAAAAACCGACTCATATATGGATGACGTACCAAAATACCGGTAAAAACATTTTAGTTTTTATAATAGTAGAGATAAAGAGTAGCAATAATGCCCGTGCTTTGCCATGGGATAAAAAAGAATTATAGATAAAAGCGTTGCCATGTGTACTTTTCTTTAAAAACTGAACAAAATGAAATCTTTGATTGAACTCAGCAATGATTATGCAAGACAAATGATAACTATATGTATGTGTTATCTATGGCAACATATCATATACACACAGGTCCTCACGTGTACACACGTGCACACCAACTAAAAAATATCACCAAAAAATCTAGAAAAAATCATACACATACTTTCAATTGTATTACACCTAGGGTTAAAATCTTAACGTCAAATTCATTATATTTTAGCCGTAACAAAAAAAACAAAAAATCTAACCGTTTTAAGGTTGCAATTTTGTCAGAATTTTATCTTTTTTGTTATTCTCTATGTAGAATAAATTTGAAGATGCGACTTTGCACGTAAATGTAATACTATTGAAAGTACATGTATGAATTTTCCTAGAATTTTTTTTGATAATTTTTAATTGGTGTATACGGTGTGTACACGCGAGGGCTTGTGTGCATAGGATACGCTCCCGTTATCTATAACATATCAAAAGAAAACAATTAACCTCCGTGTGCTTTCATTATGTCCATGAATGCCAAATTGTCTAGCTAAGATTTTGTAATTTACAAAAGGCATTTAAATTTAAATTGACAAATAGAATCTGGACTCCACCTCACCACTACCCCTCCCCCCCTCCCCCAAAAAAAAAATCTACAGGTCATCTAAGGCTGAGTTGAACTACAACTTCAAACAATTTTCTCGATTTCCTTCAGCACAACTGCTAAGGGCACCTACAAAAGTAGAGACCGGTATGATCTCTACGTTAATTAGATGCTATCATGTTACAATAGTTAAGATAATACGGTCTCTAATCATTAATGTACCAAAATACTTTCTTACTAGTTATCTTTTCTTTATTAGACTCAATGCAACGAAAAATTTCCTAATAAATGCTAAGAGTCGACTCTATGCCGTTGTCATGCGTAGCAACCATCTTTCTATTTCCTTCTTCCTCTCTCTTCCACGTCACTAAATATGTTTGCATGACAATAAAGAGAGACCGCTAATAAAAACTATTGTATATGCCTTAAGGGCAGTCCCAACCCTCCACCTAGGATGGTGTCTATGGCATTAACTACATTGCCATGTAGGACTTTTAGCTTATGTGGCACTATATTAATTAAGAGAGAGAGTAAAGAGAGAAAGAAACTGGGTCTCATGCAAGACATAGCTTCAACATGAGAACCTATGCACTAGACACTATCAAGTTTTGTATTGGGAGAGAATAGTGTCTTCATAATAGATGAAGAATGAATATGATTGGTAGAGAAGAGAGATGATGTATTTATTAATGGCCCACTTTAAGAAACCATAGGTTGTAGAGTGTAGTTTCTATTGTGATGTGGCACCATAGACACTGCTTACGGATACTATGGGTTGGGACTACCCTAAACGGTGGTTTTGTGGACGAGCCAACCAGTTGCTGCTAAGTTGCAATTTGGAGTTGTCAGCCTAAGAACCACTCCTTGCCAATGGAAAGGAGACTTGTCTACCGGTGCACAACGAATTCATAAAAGGGTCATCGTCGGGAAAGCCTACTAAATTATGAACGCTCAACCTCACCAAAAATAGGATCTGTATGAGGAAGAAAAATAAGATCACATGGCTCATTTTCAACTTCACAAAGTCATTTTTCATCAATAAGCAGTTATGACTAACTGAATAAAAAAACTAAAGCTCCAAGTTATTTATCTAGCTCATTTTGTACCTGAGTTTGTTTTAGTTCTTTTAGCTCTATTGTTATAGCATAAGAAGAGCAGCCCTCAGGATTCTATTTACAATAGAAAGTATTAAAGAACAGTGCATTGTTTCAGCATTTTAGATTAACTGGCAGTACCTCTTTATTCTCCACGGCTCCTGATCTTTCATTTAGCAAAACTATATGATATATTTGGTTCGGAAAGCTTCAGAAATATAACAATTGTTAAGACTGATAAGTTGGTTCAACCCGGCAAATATTTAACACAATGGGTGCTATGAGAATCTGAGTTGCTGTCCCTATATAAAGTTTTATATTACATCCTAATGCTCTCACCTAGTTCTGCAAATACTTTAACCTGCATGTAATTGGTAATCAAACAGAAAACAATCCAAGGCAAAAAGGAGGATAATCTTTGTACCATACAATTTTCCAGATCACAAGTTCTACCTATGAAACCAAGAATATTCAGAAACACCATCGTATATCATACTCCTACATGAATGCAGCTTCTGTTTCGAACATTACAAGCTCCGCTGAAATTGGCTGTTGTTCTGAGTCCAGATGACTGTGAAAAGACACAGAGGATTCAATACAAAGAGCAAAGAGCATTTTCATGAACAACCGTCAACCCTCTCCAACGAGCTCCTCATGCACATACAAATTCAAGACCTCAGCGTCGATGGAAGTAGGCGGCGGCACCTCGATCGCACTGTGGCTCCGTTTGAGAAGAAGATTGCGTCGGCTCGCGTCAGCGGCCGTTGCCGAGGCCGCGAGAGGAGGGCGATGCGGTTGCATGAGGGATCTGTACTTATGGATACAGCTGCATGTATTCTCTCAGCCAAGTCAAACTCAGTATGTATGAGAGATGCGTGCCAGGCTAGGAGGACATGAGCAACCAAACACACTCTTTCTGATTCTCTTGCGATAACAACAACGATCGAACGAACGATAGCGTGTGTTCTTGTGCACGCCAAATCACACAACGTGTTCCCGAATCGGCCATGGAGAGGATGGACGAAACAATCGGTGAGTACGGAATTGTCTTCAAATTTTATAATTGGTAACTGATATATCGTAGTTTAGTTACAATGTAATTACATTTCGATTATACTATAGTTATAGTTACAATGCCCTTTTTTTAGATATTTTATTTTTAGGTTCACTAATAAATTAGGTCAATGGATTGATTGACTTAGGTTGTATGAAACAGATAAAGTGGTTTACAATTATTTGATATGTCATCAGATAATTCAATTGAGATATCAGAAATTTTTTGAATTGGTTTGTTCGTTTCCTTTTGCAGAAAATCTGCTAAAGATAAAGATAAAGATAAATATTAATTGTTTCACGTAAAATGAGGTAGTAATAACGTGTGATTAATTGAGTTTTAATTATTACAAACTTGAAAAATGGATTAATATGATATTTTAGAACAACTTTCACATATAAAGTTTTCGCACAAATATCCCGTTTAGCAATTTGAAAAGCATAGCCACCAGTATATATTTTTGTTGGAGAAAAGAACATGGTATATACTTTTGTCGGCTATGCATTGCATTGCATTCTGATTTCTGACATGGAGATGATAATTGCCTGGCTTATAAACTGTCATAACTGATATGCACTTCATTAGATCAAATTCTGTAAGTATAGTTGATATGTCTTTTCATGCACACTCCAATTGAACAAACTGAATTCCCTAATCCACGAGATGCTAACAAGTAACCACATATATATATGAGACGTAAGAAAAAGTAAAGAAAAACTACGAGATCCCAACGTTGTCAGTTGTCACGTCAGGCTCACGAGAAGCTCCGGCTTTTATTTTCTGACCCTTATGAAAACTAAAGCAAAGCCGTGACCGCCGGCATGGAGTCCGCCGTCGCCGGCAACGACGGCGCCGCGATCTGGGTTCGAGGCGGCCGCGTCTCGTGCTCCAACAAGGCCGATGCTGAGAGTAGAGGCCCATCTAATACATTGGCCCACCCAGAAGGCTTCGGCCCAACATGCCACGGAGCAGAGAGCAAGAACAGCTTCGTCTCTTCGGTTTAGTACCACCTCGCGGATTCTGAGGGGAGGGAAGGAGGAGGAGCGGGTATAAGAGGAGGGCCTGGGTAACAATGCAACTCATACCTTTCTCGGCCTTTTGGCTAAGATCAAGTGTAGTATCTGTTCTTATCAGTTTAATATCTGATATGTGGGCCATGTGCCCACTTCGATATTAAATTTATTTTTTGTGGGGGAGGGCCTATCACAGTGGCTTGCCACTGGGGCCCTCGCGCGTCGCCCAGGCGTTGCACTGCTGCCCGGGCCTGGCGCACCCCAACCAAAGCATCAATTAAATTTTTACCATACAATCCGAAGCTGCAGTTTCAGTGAAAGCCTTTTGAAGTATATTGATCCATATAAAAAACATATTTTCAACATCTGAATTTCCAATGCTGTATGATGAGCAAATACATTAGGAGTTAGATTATATTTGTTGTTCAGATCGGTTAACTCACATGAGATTCATCTCTCGAGATTATATTTTTTATATGATGCTCAACTTTCTTCCAAAAGATTGAGAGTTGAGACTCCATGATTATTAACTGAAATTCTAGCTAAACAGAATGTTGGTATTATCATTCACAGTGTAGGTCCAGCTATGTACACTCGATGCTTTCCATATCATAAATCACCAGGCAAATGAGGAATAGGGATCCCAAAGAAATCTGAGGAAGAAGATGCATGTAAACTGTAAAGGAGCTGGAGCTGGAAGAGCAGGAGGAGATGGCACTTCATCCTGCACTGAGCATCAGGATGAGTTGATCTCGTCAAGTTGTCAGCAACCTAGCTCTCTCCCCTCCTCTCTAGTTACTCCGGCTTTGTTTCGTTTTGCAGCAACTTTTAGGAAGATCAGTTGTCATTGAGATACTTTGTTGACTATGCAAGTAATGCATGCAGTGTATTCTGATTTCTGGTAACTTGACTGCTAGACTTACATAATAACTAGAGAAAATAGTTTGATGCACACTAATTAACTAGAGAAAAACTACTGGGCAATTGAACGTCCCAAACCATGAGATCCTTACCACGTATGTGACCTAAATTAAAGTAAACAAAGCTACCATCAAATATATTGTCAGGATCATGACAAACTCCAGCTATCAGTCTACCACCAATATCGTCAAGCTTTCCCAGCATTCAGTTTCCACTCTTCAGTAAAAGCAAGCAATGATCAGTGTTCATTTACCAGTCTCCAAAGCAAGGTAGGCAGCATTTAGCATGTCATTACAAGAAAAACCATGGTGCTACTGACTAAAAGTTACAGAACTAAAGATGGCAACAATGTTTTAAGTGGGATGGTCAATGGAGATCATCATGGCATTGCAGCCAACACATATGACCGATCACAACGTTTTACCACCACCACCACCACCACTTGACATGAGTGAGGCGGCAGCAGCGCCTGCAGTCGGGACGATTCCAGTCGAATTGCCTGGTTTAGAGAGATGCAGAAGCCTGCAGTGTGTTTTGCAGTCAAAAGTGAGAAAATTCGTTTATGCCAGTCTAGTAATAATCTTGAGATAGCTAAGGAACACTTAGTTACTTACGGTGCTAGATATTCACAGAACGAAGTGACGGCTGAAACGACATCGTTGTAATTGTCAGCAGCAGCAGGGGCCGTGATTTCCACTAGCTGTATTGCAGGAGTGATTGGCACAGCTTCGTTGGTAGCATGGAGTTTTGTCATCTTGCTAACAGAGGTAACGGTCACAGTTATCTGGGCACCTCGGTGGAAACGAAATGCAAATCCTCCCTTCAGAACTTCATGATCTAACTTGTACCCTATACCGTAGAAGTAACGCAATACATTGTTGCTGGCTTTGCTCTCTACAATTGACCGCACAAGGACTGAGATTTGCTCTGCACCAGCACCTCTCATGGCACCTCCAACATGTCTTATGGTCCTACATGAATACTACTGGATTCAGAATATCATCAAATATCACAAAAATGTAAATTTTAGCAGCTGAAAGAAAAGTTACCAGGATGGCGTGGACTGAGCTAAGTCACACAATAAACGAACCTCTGATGGGACAACTCCTGTATGATTGGAAGATGTATATGAGTAACAATGGCATATGATCAGAATAATGAAAAAGTTGCAAACTGACCTAGATTTGGCCCACTTTTAAGACAGAGCTCATGCACTCTGACACGTTCTTTTGGGACACCAGAGAGGCCCTGGAGAAGAACCTCAAGAGCATCAACATGCTGCATAACAAGAAGATCAACCAAAAGTTACACTGATGTCAAAGCAATGAAAACTAAAAAAGGTTAAATGGTGTTCTAAGCACAAGACATTGACATGTGTATATAAATTAATCCCTTTATTGTAAAATTACAAACCATATAAGTGATATGATTCCTCCAATTGTATATAAAATAGAACCATATCAACATATTGAAAAGAGAATCAAAAAAAGTCTGCAAGTGGCAGAAGTAGTGCCCTCAGAGTGGAGAAACATGGTTGACCATATAGTGGTCAGCATGATCAACTGTATACTTTTTTTTTATTATCCTGAAGGGAAGTGTTGATATGCTGACAAGAGGAAGCTATAAGAGACTAACAAAAGGTCATATAGAGACAATGGATCGACGACAAAGTCTTAATGCTGGCATGAATTATTATTCTCTATTCCCTGATGTGTTTCGTTCAAGAAAAAAGAAATTCTCTATGGACATAAAGTTCCAATACTACTTCATGCTATATGGAGTGAAAAAATAACTTTGTTCCTAAGTAGGACTATTGAGATGTAATTTGACATTGGGGCTATGCAGTTGATAGATTTGCTACCTGGGATAGCTTAAGTGTTACCTTTCAAAAGGTTTTATCACAATTACATTTACAGAGGTCTGTTTTCAGGCAATTGACACCTCCAACAACAAAAATGCTATCTTAAATCAAGTGATAGAAAGTTCATTTAGTAAACGTCGAAATTCTACATTCCAACTCCTTTGGATAAGGTTACTACAAAGCGAAAGGCCAAATAACCTTATGCCAAAAATTAAATAAAATTCAGAATTCTAGATACAACATACAAGTAAGGAGCGCAAATGTCAGATCAGCAAACTTGACTAGTACCGATTTCCCAGAAAGGCCTACCATCATACAAAAATCAAGAATCCATGAAGAACATCACATCTACCATCACTCCGGCTTATGTTACGGGCCATGTATGATTTTCCGGGTAAAAGTTCAAATTGGTCATGTTTTACAGCATAAACAGACAAATCAGTTTCATATGAACAAAAATGCATCGTTGCATAGCTACAGATCACTCATTCTCGGAAGAAACTACCGTTCACTTCAACAACCGCTCACACAGTCACCACTCATACAAGTCTACTGGCGAAGTGAGAAAGAAGAACAATAACCTGGGTCTCGATGATCCCCTGCACCACGCACTCCATCAACCCCACCGCTTCTCGCTACCACAATCCCTGCAAGAGAGACAAACCCTGAAACCACGCTGCGGAATTTCGTCGAACAGCTACCTCGCAGCAACAAAAATTCACCCCCACCTTTAACCTAACAGCAATAATCCGCGGCGCGGCGGGGGCTGAGGCGTCGGGAAGTGAGCCGATCCGAGGCGCAAGAGCTCCCCCCACCTCGCAAACCCCGCGTCCCCGAACACTCCCCTCTCCGCCACTGACCGCTCGCCGTCCTCCGCCGCCTCCTCCTCCTGCAGCGATGGAGACGAGAAGAAAGAATTCCGAGAAACCGAGGGGGGTAAAGTGATAAAATGCCTCACCCCCGCGCGAAGGGTCGCGGCGTTTTTGCATCTAGGCCCCTGGAAGAATCTGAAATTTCAGTCATACCCTTCCTCTGACTTCTCCTCTTCCTCTTCCTCCCCCACGCGCTCGTCTCGTCTTCCTCTCGAATTCCCATTTTCTTCCACCTCCTCCTCGTCTCGAGGTCTCAGATCCAATGGCCGCGACGGCGACGGCGACGACCACCGCGTAGAGCGCGTGAGAGTCTGCGTGGACGGCTAACTATGGCCTCGCCGGCGGGGGCAATCGGCGGCGCGTCGCCGTCGGGGCGGGTGCTGGGCCCTGCGCTGGACCGGATCATCAAGAACGCGGCGTGGCGGAAGCACTCGGGCCTCGTGGCGGCCGCCAAGGCGGCGCTCGACCTGCTCTCCTCGTCGGCGTACGCGTCGGCGTCGGCGCCGTCGCCGCCGTCGCTGCTGCTCGGGTTGCCGGCGGCCGCCGCGGACGCGTGCATCCACGCGCTCCTCCTCGCGCTCGAGTCGGCGTCCCCCAAGGTCGCCGACCCGGCGCTCGACTGCGTCGCCAAGTTGCTCTACCACCGCCTCCTCGTCGGTGATCTCGGCGGTGGCGGCGGCGACGACGACTCCCCGTCCTCCAAGCTGCTCGCCGCCGTGCTCTCCTGCGGCGCGCTCGCCGACGACGCCATGGAGCTCTCCACCCTCCGCGTCCTCGTGGCCGCCGCGCGGTGCCCCTCCGTCGCCATCCGCGGGGAAGGGCTCGGCCAGATGCTCAAGACCTGCTACAACATATACCTCAGTAGCAGCAGCGGCGCCAACCAGCTCTGCGCTAAGCTGGCGCTGGCGCAGGTGCTGGTGATCGTGTTCGCGCGCGTGGAGGTGGACTCCATGGATGTGCGCGTGCGCACGGTGTCGATCACCGACATGATGGACATGTCTGACCGCAACCTGAATGACTCCAGCATTGTCCATGCGGCGCAGAGCTTCATAAACGAGACGATGGAGGGAAGCGATGTCCCTGAGCCGGGGTCCCCGGTTGAGCCGGCCGAGACGGATGGGAAGGAGGATGTTGTCATGAGCAAGATCAGGGAGGATGGGTTGACACTGTTCAAGAACCTGTGCAAGCTGTCCATGAAGTTCTCGACGCCGGATAATCCCGAAGATCAGGTCCTGCTGCGCGGGAAGGTGTTGTCTCTTGAGTTGCTCAAGATGGTTATCGACAATGCTGGGGCATTCTGGAGAACGAATGAAAAGTATGATATGATACTCATTATTGTCTTACTTCTGTGCATTTTAACAGCTCAACTTGCTGTGTTGCCTATCTATATAAATATTGTTGTTGCAGTGATTTAGAAGAATGCAGATGGCTTAAATGACTAAGGGAAGGAAGGCATAAAATGTTCAGTATAGTAATTGATATGGAGGCTTCATGTTTGCCTAGTAGTAACTCAGAAATTATGGATACACATTTTTCTGATACTAATACATTATTTTCACAATCCAGGCACGCTTTACTATTATCTGCTTGGATGTGTCAACATTTTGGCTATATTTTTTTAATGTATTATGATGGATGAAAATTTTTCTAGGGAAAAAAGTGCAGAGTTTAATCTATGGTGGTAGATACATGTTTACGTGACCTACTATTCTGTATTTGAATTGCCATTGGTTCTTTTAAAATGTTTCAAATGATGTCCTGATGATAATCTGCATTTGTATGTTGTTCTCTTAATTTGTTTAAGTCTCTTCACTAACTAAAAAAAGAAAATAATTAATGAGCTAACAATACACTGGAAAGGGAATAAAAACATGAAGTGTTGATTTATGAGCTCCAGATGTAACATGATGGCCAGGAGAGGGCACAAGCATCACGATATTTTATTTATAACATTAGGAGTGACTGAACTTTATTCCGTTCTTTTTTTCCTTCAAAATATGCTCATCCATCTAATTTGCTATGCTGAAAAATATGATTATTGTTCACCAAGCTTCCTGCAAGTATACGGTTACAATTTAAAACCTTTTATGTTTAGGGTATTCCATAAAGAGCATTCTGTTTACTCTGACTCCAATGGGTAATAAAACTCTTATACTGAAGTGTTCTTTTCTCTTTTTTTTTTCAATGCAGGTACCTTGGAGCAATCAAGCAGTATCTTTGTTTGTCCTTGTTGAAGAACAGTGCCTTGTCAGCAATGAGTATTTACCAACTGTTATGCTCCATATTTTTGGGTTTGCTGTCAAGATTTAGATCTGGGCTGAAAGAGGAAATTGGAATATTTTTTCCCATGCTTGTTCTGAGGGTTCTTGAGAATGTCCATCAACCTAGCTTTCTGCAGAAAATGACTGTACTAAACCTTTTGGAGAAGATCTGTAAAGACTCCCAGGTTATTATTGATGTCTTTGTGAACTATGATTGTGATGTTGATGCACCAAATATCTTTGAAAGGTATGTAGTTTTGTTCTTGATGAATGGCAACCTTAAGTTTTGTTGTCACAGATTATTAGCAGCAGGTATGCATCTATTTAGTGGCCTGTAAGTGCTGCATGAGAATCGATGCATTGAACTGATTACAGTTCTGCAAAAATTAAGTTCACTCTCTCTTCATCATAGTTAAAACAACCCTTTAATTCCAACAGATCTTTGCAGGATTGTCAATGGGCTTTTAAAGACTGCTCTAGGGGTTCCTCCTGGATCTGCAACAACATTAACCCCTGCACAAGACCAGACATTTCGGATTGAGTCAGTCAAGTGTCTTGCAACCATAATAAAATCAATGGGTTCATGGATGGACCAACAGCTGAAAATTGGTGAATTTTCACCCAAACCTTCTGAAATATCTTTAAATTCGATAGACATTCCTAACATCCTTGTTGGAGAAGATGGGGGTGCTGTTGATTATGAACTGCAAACAGACTCTGGTAACCCAGACCTATCTGACGCTTCCTCACTTGAGCAGCGTCGTACTTATAAAATAGAACTTCAGGTATGTTAATATTTGCATGCTTTCTATTTAAATTAACTCCAATGTTAGACATTTTATAAAGGGTTAACATTTGGTTTACTGAACTGCAAAATTCCTTCTGCAGAAAGGAATTTCCTTGTTTAACAGGAAGCCTTCCAAGGGTATTGATTTTCTCATTAAAAGCAAGAAAATAGGTCATTCCCCAGAAGATGTTGCTTCTTTCTTGAGAGATACTGCTGGTTTAAACGCAACAATGATCGGGGACTATTTGGGTGAAAGAGATGAATTCCCTATCAAAGTAATGCATGCATATGCAGATGCACTGAACTTCGAAGGTATGGACTTTGGTGAAGCCATTAGGTATTACTTGCGAGGTTTCAGGTTGCCTGGAGAAGCGCAAAAAATTGATCGAATCATGGAAAAGTTTGCTGAACGATACTGCAAATGCAATCCAAATTCTTTTACCAGTGCAGATACTGCATATGTTCTTGCTTATTCTGTAATTATGCTCAATACCGATGCTCATAATACGATGGTCAAAGATAAGGTTAGCTATATCACTGATCCCCTCTGTTATATGTCAATAACAGAAGTTTTGATCATTAAATGGATTTTCGTTACGCAGATGTCGAAGTCTGATTTCATTCGCAATAACCGAGGAATTGATGATGGGAAGGATTTGCCTGAACATTATCTGAGTACATTGTATGATCAAATTGTCAAAAATGAGATAAAAATGAGTGCTGATTCGTCAGTTCCACAAAGCAAGCAGCCTAGTAGTGTAATTAAGCTCTTAGGCTTGGATAACATTATCAACCTTGTCAACTGGAAACAGGCTGAAGACAAGGCACTTGGAGCAAACGACTTACTCATTAAGAACATACAGGAGAAATTCAAAGCAAAGAGTGGGAAATCAGAGTAAGAGAGAGTTACTCATAGACAAATAACTTGCGTCAGCTAACACTTTATAATAATTAAAGCTCTTGTATTCGCAGATCTATATTTCATGTTATTACTGATTCTACCATTTTAAGATTCATGATGGAGGTTTGTTGGGCCCCTATGATGGCTGCATTCAGTGTGACACTTGACCAAAGTGATGATAAGGCTGCCACATCACAGTGTTTGCAAGGATTCAGATCTGCAGTGCATGTAACCGCTGTAATGTGTATGCAGACACAGCGAGATGCCTTTGTGACATCTGTTGCCAAATTCACTTACCTCCATTGTGCTGCGGACATGAAACAAAAGAATGTGGATGCTGTGAAGGTAGGAACTTAGAAAAGCCAAACTTGGTTCTCTTTTGTTTTCTTGAAATAAAAAATGATTCTCATGATTTAAATGCAAATGCACACATACTATTGCATTTTCCTATTGATATTATGTAGACAAAATTCCCAAGCTTATATGGTCCCTTGGTCTATTTATGGTGAGGACACTTAGATGGCTTCACAGTACATTAGAGCTTGAACTATTCAAAGCATTTACACTTGTACTGGATTAAAATACTTGATTCTATTTTTTGTCAAAACCATATCGACTAATATATATATCTATATTTGTTAGACATAGTCCTATTCGTCAATATTAGAACAAGTAATGATGTGTGTTTTCTTAATGTCTTTTTACAGGCTATAATATCCATCGCAATTGAAGATGGTGACTATTTGCAGGATTCCTGGGAGCATGTACTAACATGTCTTTCACGGTTTGAGCATCTACATCTCCTTGGAGAGGGGGCACCTACTGATGCTTCATTTTTGACAGTGCCTCTGGTTGAGTCAGAAGATAAAACACAGAAGTCAAGTAGCACTACAGCTTCGAAGCGAACTAATGCTCTTCAGAATCCAGCTGTAATGGCTGCCGTCAGAGGGGGTTCTTACGACAGCACAACAGCTAAAAATAATGCCTCACCATTGGTTACTCCTGAACAGATAAATAGCTTCATATCAAACATAAATTTGTTAGACCAGATTGGCATTTTTGAATTAAATCATATATTTGCTCATAGCCAGAGAT